TATATATATATATATATATATATACATATATATATACATATATATACGATATATATCATACCATAATCGATTTCTTTTGGCCTTTCAATAATACGATTTCCGCCAATACTGCAGGTATGTTACATGAAGTACAACATATGCCTCACATGTAACGTTAAAAAGGGTTCTGATGTATTCGATTATTATTATTGTTATTATTATTGTTGTTGTTATTATTATTATTATTATTATTATTATATAGTCACATTGTTAGTGAAAGATAATTATTATTGTTGCGATATGGACTAAACAGGAATTGTGTGTAAAATTCGTTTCCTCGCACATACGCCTCCTCATTCAGTTGTCCACAATACAAAAATCGAAAATAATATTCGTCCGCAACACCGTAATTATGATTACTTATATACAAGTCAATATACTAAATACTTTAATCTGCAGTCTCTTTATTTCAATACAATACTGTGTTAATTCATGGTTTGCATCATCGACATTAGAATATCTGGACTGAGCATTCAACGAAGGGAAGGTCTGATTAACGATAAAGGGAAAACTTTGGGTATTTCGAATTCAAGGAAAAATGGTTTACGATAGGATATAGATAATTGTGTATAATCATTATATAACAAAATAAATTATTTTATATAATAATATAATAAAATAACGGATCATTATATAATAAAATCATATTATTTTATATAATAATATAATAAAATAACGGATCTGATATACATGTAATGACATCTTTAATATACACACAAACAAAACTCAGTGTTAGCCAAACGGTGACGAATCGAACCCGATAACCCGTAGGTGCTGTCAATTTCCCCTTACCGCAAATTGATAATCACTTCCTTGCTTAAATTAACACTACATGCTCGGTCCAGATATTCTCACGTCGATGGTTTGTATCGATCTTGTCTGAGCTTGATCTCTCCCTCTCTCTCTTTTTCTTTACCAGAAGTTATAGATTTCCTTAGGAGAAAATTTCCTACATAAATATTTCTCTCTAATTTCGATATCGTAACGAATATCGTGTTAAAGTAGATATTGATAAACATCATACATAAAATCACCAATACCGATCTCGTGTGTAAAGTAATACAAATCGATTATACAAGAAATATTTTATTGTCGAAAAATAAATTAGTTATATAGAAAATATTCGGAAGGGAGGGGGGGAGGGGGGGCTTTGTAATATGTCGCATAAGTGAGATGTACGTATCGACCTTACAGCTAAAAGAATCTAGCATAAGGGAGCCGCATTTCGTTCCATGGAGTAAGAAGAAGTCTCAAAAATACGGAAGATGATGATCACCGTGTATGAATACGCAAAGCGAATACGATCTGCAAGTCAAAGTCACTGCTCGTCGATTGTGCCCTTGCGAGATGGAGAGTATACACGTGTATGTGTATGTGTGTATGTTTATATCGGGGTTCTGGTTAATTCGCATTATTAAAGTCTCCCCTTGAAGAGAGTTCCGTCGATTATATTCATTTCGGGATCATGCATATTCACTTTTCGTTAGGATAAGGGGGGGGGGAGGAGGGGGTATTGTTCTCGATTCAGAACAGATGTAATTAACATACCTAAATATATGTATATGTATATATAATGTATATGTATATACCCATGTGTAGCGTAGCGTATAATGGTTAACAAGTATATTCTGTGCATCCACGCTTGAAACCTCGTCGAAAATAAAAAATATCTTGGCCTTACGACTCTCGAAAGGTGATGCTGCCATACATGCCTATAAGTTATTTCCATTCTCGCTTTACTTACACATCGCGGGGCTTACTTACACGCTCTCGGTGGGGCTCTGAAATTCCGAGAGCGCGTGTATAGGGTTCTGCACCTTCTTTTGCGAGCCTTTGCGCACTTTCGCCCTCACTTCCTCGGGTCTCTCGGGGCGTACCAACGGCTTCTTCTCCGGAGCCTTCATCTTCCATATGACGATGGGAGACTGATGAAAACAAATCGTAAACATATATTACATATATATATATCTCGCGTTAAGTTACACGATCTGTGATTTTTATCGATCTTGCGCGCTACATCGTGTCATAAAGAGTGCACAATTAGACAAAGATTGCTCTCCAAAGACACAAGTCGACACGGGTCTAATCGTACATCACCATTAGTCCTTATTTCGCATTTGGTGACGAAAAGGATAATATATGATATAACTAGACTTGTACGTCGATTTGCGTCTCTTGCTGGAAAGCAAGCAGTAAGCCTCAGAATCTCTCCAATGCTACCGCAATGAGATCTTCGGGCATAATCTACAACATTTGCGCGTGAATGATTCGTTAAAATGACGTATACTTACATACTGAAAATCCACACGTTAATGAAGAGCGGATGAAAAACATAAAACAATGCGATGTGAGCAACGATCCGCTTCTTGATTTATATTATAGAAATTTTTAAATTGTTAAAGAGTAAAAATTTTAAATAATCTTAGAAACTTAAGATACACACTCACACACTTCTTATTCTCTGATACTCGAAGCACTTGACCTAAGGTAAGAGTGTAAACGGAACTTACCGTTACCGTCGATTGTCGGGGATACTTGGTAGAAGCTACGTAGGAAGCCTTGACGGTAAGCACGACGGCGTTCATGAGGTTCTTGGCGGCTTGTATGAGGGAGGTCGCGCTGTCTAGGCCGGAGACGATCAGTTCCCCACTGATATTCTGCACGTCCGCCTTCACTTTGCTCGTGATGTTCATCTGATGGCAATAGAGTGCGATACGTTGCAAGTACGCCAAGAGGTCCTTCTTCGTGGAGCTCTCCGGGCATTGATCGGCGATCTGGCGCGTCAGCTTGTCCAACTTAGTACCGGCCTCGGAGATCTTCTTCGCCGCGTTGATGACGTCCATCGTGGTCTTCAAGGGCCCCCTGCCCCGCGTGAAGTCCGTCATCTCCATCATGATCATACACATGTGCTTGGCGAGGACGATGATGTCGTTGCCGGCGTCGTCCCACTTCGCCACCTCCTTGTCGAACTTGAGCTTCTCGCTCTTGAAGTACTCCACCTGCTGCAAGATCTTCTGCTTGTCTTCCTCCGGCATCTTCCTCATGGCTTCGCGGGCGGTCGTGATGCCGCTGATCTCCGGGTACTCGTCCACGCCGTGTTCCCCGGTTTGCGCGCTAGATTTGCTGCGTGTCTCCAACGTGTAGTGCTCGTCCAGCTCCACGTCTTCCGGGTCCAAGTCCTCGTCAGCCTGAGAGGAGACATCGGGTTATAAGTCGCGAGAGACCGTCTCTGTAGGCTCTCCTCAAGAATATAATCATAAAATAGACAAATGGGGTGAGATTAAATATTATATTAATTTCATCAAACTAAAAACGAGAGCATCTGTGCATAGGCTCTTATTTGCCCTTTCTATAATCATAGTTCTGACAGTACATCAACATTATCTCTCACTTTCTCTTACCCTATTCATCAACACGGCACGCCTGATTTCGCGGACCCCGTCGTACACCAGTCTGGACGCGTCGATGAAGTCGTTCTCGTCCACGTCCTTAGCAGGATTGCTACCTAAGGCATCCACCGCAACTTCCACCCGCTGCGCGAACTTGGGCATCACCTGCTCCCTGAGAACCTTCACCGCCTCGAGCACCCGCTTGGTGTAGATGCACGGCTCGTAGTTGTCCATCTCGGCCTGCACGACGTTGCACACCCTGGCAGAGCGGCCGCGTATCGCACCTGCCGTTCTGTCCAGAGTGTCAGCGTCACCCTCCTGCAAGGCCAAGACGCACTTGTTCACGTCCTCGAGAATATGATTCTCGGAGACAGCGAGAAAATCGTCGATCGTCGTGATGTCGTCCACGGCCTCCGTGAGAACCCGCACTTGATTCTCCCACGCTTGACGAAACACCTCCATGTTGTCCAGCGCTACTTTCGAGCGGTTCCGCGCGGCCAACACGCGCGCTGCGTTGATCACCTGCGGACACAGGTTCTCGATCTGCGCGGCGGCGTAGCGCACCATCTTCACGCCGTCCTCGTTGCCGGACATGCTGCACACCAGGTTGGCGACCTGTTTGGACGGGTGAGCGGTTTAACCGTGTCGTTACACGAGATATCTTGAGATAAGAGACCCTGTACTTGGCAAAGCGTTCAAAGAAATCTATTATTCGGGAGGAAAGATATTTAAAAACTAACAAATATTCCGATGATAACACATTTGCCGAAATTTCTGAATTCTTTTACTTAAATAGGATAAACCATTTCTTTCACGAAAAGCTACAGAAAATGTGTGTCTTTTTTAATATACATATTTTTCTTTTAAGAAAATGCGTTTTGTTTTCTTATTTGAAATTTTTGCGAAAATGTTTTTCTTATGCGAATTCTTATGCGAATGAAATTCTTATGCGAAAATGTTTTCTTATTTGAAATTTTTCCTCAATGTAAAAATGTATATTGGTGTAAACAAATATGTTATTGGCATCCACTGGATGGAATGTTTCTTACTTTTCAGATATCTTTTCTCTCAAGGTGTAAGATCGATTTTCTGTTTGTTTCGGCCGGGCCGAATTACCTCCACAAGTTTGTTCGCGTGTTCCGTGAAGACGAGCGCATATTCTTCCACCTCCTTGTCCCGGCCGTTTCGCGCCGCCTCGATCAGGACCAGCAACGGCACGCTCGTCTCCAGGAAACTGTCCGACACGTGGTCCACCACGGCTTTGCGCAGCTGTCTGCGGAGATCGCGGGTTTTCCTACACATGTGATCGATCGCTCGCTCTAAGCCTTCAGACTGCTCCTTCACACCCATCTGCCAACATATTTTCATCGTTCTTCATCCTGCACGAATTCGTGAAGCGGTATCGTTCTCTCTTGAATTTTTTTAAGTTTACGATCGTAAAAATGGTTATTCGGTATTCGATACCATCGTTGTTAGTTCAAGTCCAATTCCAGTGGTTCCACAGAAACGGAAATATTAACACAGAAAAAAACGTGTGTGTGAGAAAGAGAAAGAGAGAATCGCAGATCGCTAAGATAACATTGTTAAGATTCCTTCCAAACTGTCCTTGTTTGATGACGTCAGAAGAGAGAAAACGCATCAAGAATTCTTGCGTTTTACGTTCAAATAAGAAGATATACGAATGGTTCCGTGTCAAATTAATTTTGAAGAATTCTTGACACGCGTTTTCTCGCTCCCGACGTCATCAAACGAGAACAGCTGCAGCGACTACCCAGGAGCCTTAAAAGAGTACAGATAAGAGAGTAATATCCGGTAATTATTTACATGTAATTAAAATTCGAGTGACTCCTCATCAGCAGCACAGTGTATTTGCGGCAAGCGTTATTTACAAGTACGCAATAAACGAGAAGTGGCTCGGCTCTCCGCCGAGGCAACTGCACTTTGTACACTTTGGTTATATTACACAACTCTACCAAGTGGTCGATTAGTCGTTTGATATTTGTAACAACGGTGCAAAGAGAGAAAGAGGCAATGAGAGAGAAATTGTGGACGCACAGCTAGTCGTGACATATGATGATTAGTGCTGGTTACTGCTGGCGACGGTGTATTCGTCGGTAGTGGTTGCTTCCCAGCACGGGACATAAGTCTGTATTGACAAGGTTGTGTCATTCATCACCCTTTTCTCTACCAAACGCGAAATACGGACGAACGATGACGCAACTGGGCTTGCGTCGAGACTTCCGTCTCTCGCTGGGAAGCAACCGGTGTGTGAGAGATAATCCAACGAGTAATGTGGTACTTAGCGCACAATGAGAATGCCTAGCCTAAGGAAGGTACGTAATTGCAGTATAAATATGCAATGAGAATAAAGTACAGAGAGAAAGAGAAAGAGAGAGTGTACGATTACTTCGCATATTTACCCGTTTCCCACCCTGAGCGCGCTGTAACTGCCATCACCGACCAAAACAAACCAACAGAGTGAGTATCGTTTGAGTGAGCGAGAAGATAGGTAGAAAAAAAGGAATAAATATCGTATACGAACACACACGCAGTCGAACGTGATTCGCATTCGCGCGAATCCACGTACGTCGTGCGCTCGTCTCGATTAAGAGAGCTCGGGGCTCGACGTCCTCTCGGATTTCGTCCGAGCGCTTCGTCATTTTCCCGCCAGTCTCTCTCGATAGCGACAGTCGCGTTGTACTCACGTTGTTCATGTATTCGCTCAGGAGATCCTGAAGCGCCTGCCTGACCGCGTTGCACTCGGCGACGATGCGCTCCCTGCGCTCGTCCCGGGTGCACGACGAGTCCGCCATTAATGCCGCGCCGCTGATGATGCTCTCCAGCCTTTCCTCGAGACTCGGTCGCGTGCGAACCTCATTGTACGCGAGCGGAGACATCACCATCCTCTCGTCGAAGTCGTCCAAAGCGGCGGCCAGTTCACCGGGGCCGTCGTACGGGTGCTGGCCGTCCGGCGGGGTTTTCCCCTGAGCCACGTCGTTTATGGTGTTTACCGCCTCGCACACCTGCTTCAGCACGTAGTCGCGATTCGCCTTAGCGGCCGCCAGGTCGGGGTGTCGCACGAACACCTTGGAGGCGGTCAGCAACATGGTGGAATGTTTCTTCAGGACGGCCCTCGCGGCGGCCAGGTCGTCCCTCAGCTGCGGATCCTTGAGCTCGTGCTGACGCTTCGCCGCCTGCTGGATCAGCTCGGCGGCGTTCCTCCCAAACTCCTTGATGTTCTGCAACAGTTCGCCCTGCGACGAGGCGTTCTTCAACTTCTTCAGGTCGTCCTCCACGACGTATAGGGACTTTAGCAGCAGGTGCACGTCCACCATGTCCGCGAGGATGAGCAAACGCGTCACGGCTGACAGCAAGTTCCTCGCGGCGCGCACCATGTTGCCGCGCTTCAACGACGAACACGGATCCTCGGAGAATTCCCTAAACACAGGTTAAACCATATCCACAATGAACATTTACATATCGCCACAACAGCCGTGATCGGGCTCTTTCAGACTGTTGGTTCTCTCCTTGGTACAACTAACTGCGATGAATAGTCAGTCACAAAAACGTTTTTCTATCGATGAGTTTCGCATTCTGGTATATCCAATGGGAAAACGCGTCTCCTGGAAATGACCGAGAAACGGATTCTCTTATCGAACACGGAATGCGTTCCGAAACTTGTAGAAAGAAAAAGTGTCGCAACCGTCCTGTGAACCTGACTGATACAAACATACGCGGGGAGATAACATACCGTTTGCTGATCAAATATAGATAAGAAAAAAAACATCCACCATACCTGGCGGCAATGCCCATCGCCGCGCCAGTTTTTCTCACTTCCTCCACCGCACTCAACATCTCCGCCGTGATATCCGGATTCTCATAGGCGATCTTCTCACCCTTCTCGATAAAATTGGCGGTGGCCTTCTCCACAGTGCCGACCAGTGCGCTGGCCCTCTTGGATTTGCCTTTCTTCTTCTTGCTGGGGCCCTTTGTGTTCACCAGTGTCGTTACTTGGAGCACCAACGGCTCCAGTGTCTTCTCCACGGACATGGTCCGTATCTCCAAATTTTTCGGGTCCCATTTCAAAGTGATCGGCCCAAAGTGGTCAGACATGTTCGCGCTGTATTAATGTTTATTCTACAAAACACAGAATATTATACCATACTTCTGCTTTATAATATTCCGCGAGCTCTCGAACTTTATTTAATATCCGCGATCATGCGACACCTTTGTACACGTAAATAAAGGAAAAACGAGGTTCTCAAACTCGGACTCGTGTCCGACAAGCGAGAAAAATCGACCCGGTTTCACCGAATGAAAAATACATTTAGACCCGCACGAATTGCAACCACCGAGTTAACCGTCATTCAATCGATAAATAAGAAGCACCAGACATTTCCCACACGCTCGTCTCTATTGTCTGCAACTGCACCTTTCATCTTCCTTCCTACACCTTTTCCTCGCTCCCTTTAATCTTGCTTTTGCGGGACACACGTATTCGGGAATACGCCGCTGGAGAAAGAACGTGGATCGATTCAACGAGAGAATAAAAGTCCGAGTCGCAGCCCCGATCGCACGGTACCTATGCTACACGCAAAAGCTGTCTCGTTGAATGTAAATATCTCTCCATTATCTCTCTCTCTCTCGCTTGATCTATCATTCATGACAAGTGCATGTGACTCTAAGCTCGCGGTGGCACTTCGATACGCGCTCGTACGTTCTTATTCCCGAGACTGCCAATTTCACGCGTTTGTCAAAAGTTTCTATTTATCTTACTTGGTTATAATGACTGCAGTTCGCGTCCCGACAGTCGGGAGCGTCGGCCTCTCCGTCGCATATAAGCTAACGCAGGAATGTTGGACGAATCCAACTTACCAACATGAAAATGGGGAAGGTACGCGCCACCGGTGATTCCTCCGGTCGTTTTCGGCTGGTTCGAGGCAGAGACGGTGATACGGCTCGCGAGGTTGGCCGCATTAAACGGGAACACCGAGGCACACCGAGACCTGAATCACCTCGTCGACGATGTATCACTCCATTGGCATCCACCGCTCGCCGCTGCTCGTCCCTGACGTCATTATTTCCGCTGGGCTCTCGGTATCAGCGATGTGGAGCGTGCTTCGGTCTACGCCCGAAGCTTAGGCCGCGTTTCGATGAATCTTGAACGGGATTAGCGAGCGTATAAGTATTATAAATGAGAAGACGAGTGTGTGCTCGCACCTTGAAGATGAAGGAAGGATAACAGAAAAGTGAACTTGGATTAAGGACCGTCTACAATAGCCGTAAAGTACGCAGTAATGCCTGTATCAGACTATGAATTGGAGACTGAGATTGAACTGAAATTCGACCAATCAGAGCAACGTTCGCTAAACTCAAGTTTAGTGGATCCGGCTTGAGCCTAATTGACCAATTGGATTCGTGCATTGGAAAAATAAATCGACTATGGTGGGGTTTTTATAAGTGCTTGTTTACACCGATCGTTTAATACGTGCATCACACAATAACGTTAATGTAACTTAATATTATTCGTTATGATTTAATTTTAATCTAATACACTATTGTTTTTACATGCATCACTGAAGTGTGAAAACTGAAAATCCAAACGAGAATCATTGATCGACGATAAACAAGATGCTCTGGCGAAAATAAGCCAATTGGCCAATCAGAACAAGAATCACTAAACTTGAGTTTAGCGAACCTCGCTCTAATTAGTTAAATTTCAACTCAATCTCAGTCTTAATCCGTACTCTGATACAGGCATAAGTTAAATGTCATTATTCATGAAATGTTGAATGATTTCATGAAAAGATCACATATGATTCCAGCAGTTCCGGAAGATTCATGGCGCGCGTCGTAAAACGATTGGCCAATCGTGAACGCCCCCCATTACTTACATGGAAACTTACATGAAAATGGATGGCGCTTCACTCGATTTCGGGTGTTTCCGGTTAATTTCGGTTACTATCGAAAGACCTTCGTGATCACGCCGATCACGCTACCCGCTCGTTCACCGGTATCACCATCTTGTTTGTTTCGTCAGCGGCAGGACGCGCAAAATATCCGACTTCACCGTGAAAGTTACGTTCCGCTGCGAAAATTTTACGAGGGATCACATTTTCCACACGATATTTCTACTCTCGCGCAGCCATCGGTACGTGATAACATACAGGCGATAAACTGGACATGTCTCACGGCGGTAGAAACGAATGTAGGATTTACGTGGGTAATTTGCCACCGGATATTCGGACGAAAGACATTCAGGATCTCTTCTACAAATTTGGTAAAGTGACATTCGTTGACTTGAAAAATCGTCGGGGTCCGCCGTTCGCATTCGTCGAGTTCGACGATCCGAGGTGAGTTCCTGGCGGATTTAAAATGATACATACTGCATGCACGTATTACGTTCTCCTCGTATTCTAATGCGTATTGGTATCCAAGACCATTTCGAATAAACAGGTTGACGCGATGCAAAACGTGACATTGAACTTAAGGTGATGCTATTATGCTGTTTTGTTGTATTCAGTCTATTCTATTAAGTTGCCTCACTACTGAATCTGTTTTATTGAATAAATACGACCAAGTGTGCAATAAATATATGTGTATTTCAAGTAGAAATTTATCATTTTTGCTTCGGCATAACAGCAAATGCGTACAACAAAAATGGCTGCTTGTCCATTTTGTACAAGCAGGAAGAAGTTATTGCAAATTTTTGCTGGGATGATTATCATTTCTTATCAATGTGATAATAGACTTATGTTTGCATATGTATATGAATTCTAAATCCCTACTAAATATCCTGTATGATTCATTAGAAAATTCTTTTCTATCGTTTGTTAAAGAGAAACCTGTAGAGTATAGCGTTGTAAGACGGAATGAATAGAACACCTATAGAATTTTTAGTAGAATAATTCTTCTTGTAGTATATGTGATTATGATAGAACATAAAATTTAATGTCGCATTTACGATCATCTATAAATCTGATCTGTTAATTATTTGTGAGAATCAATATATTCCGAAGGCTTCATACATATTGTTAGAAGCTCGAACAATACAAATATCTGAAAGATATCTCAAAAACACTCTTCACGATGTCTCAGGACATCTCAATGTTAAATCTAAGGATATGTGTAAATAATAACAAGCATTTTATTGTCCTATTTAGAAGTTATATAATATATTTATGACAAAAGTTTCATATGTGAAGAAAAGCGGTAAAAATACAATTGCAGCAAATTATATGTGTGTGTGTGTGTGCTTTTCAGAGATGCGGAGGATGCGGTGCACGCGAGAGATGGCTATGATTACGACGGTTACAGATTAAGGGTCGAATTTCCGAGAGGTGGCGGTCCTAGCAACAATTTTCGTGGCGGACGCGGAGCTGGCGACAGCGGCAGAGGCGGCCGCGGTGAGATGAGCAATTCTCGTGGCCGCGGTCCCCCTGCACGACGTTCGCAATACAGAGTATTGGTAACCGGCTTACCGCCATCCGGCAGCTGGCAAGATCTCAAGGATCACATGCGCGAGGCTGGCGATGTGTGCTTCGCCGATGTTTACAAAGATGGTACCGGTGTCGTTGAATTTCTGAGACACGATGACATGAAGTATGCCGTGAAGAAGTTAGACGATTCGCGATTTAGATCGCACGAGGTATCTATGATCTGTAATTTTATTTTTCACGCGAATATAATCGTAACAACGCGATGCGTGCTAGACTATCGACGTTTCCTCCGGGATTTTCCTCCGCCTCTTGAATTGCGGTTCTTCTTCGCGTATCTTCGGTGGTTACTTTCGACGGATCTCGATTTGTTTCTCGTTTTTCGTGCAATCCGAAGCTCGAGCTTGTGATTTTGTTACATTCAGGGTGAAGTAGCCTACATTCGTGTGAAAGAAGACCACAACAGTGGCGATAGAGGACGCAGCGAAGACAGAGAGAGGGGCCGTTCCCGTTCGCGAAGCTACAGCCCACGGCGCCGTGGCTCTCCCACTTACTCGCCATTGCGGCGTAATTACTCGCGATCAAGATCTCGCTCCAGATCTCGTTCGTACGACTAGTATGTGTACGTATGTGTTTCACATGGTAATATAAGTGAAGGTTTACATTGATATTTGCTTTTACCATGTTCCATTATTATTGCTGATTTGAATTTTACTCGAGGACATCCTCCAATCCAAAGCAGGTCCCGCATAAAAGAGAATTCAAATTGATCCAATAACTGTACCGTACTGTATATTTGATGTATAAAGTTAGAGCACGGTTCATTTCTTAATACATGTATTACGATTAAGTTTCTCGCTTTCCAAAGGTGTACACCTATTATTATTCGGTCGTAGTAGAAAGCCGGTAGTAATTGACTCAATGACTTTCAGTTCTTAGCCGTCATCTTAATAAAAAAAAAAAAACAAGTCTCATCACGTTGGTCTCCGTTTAAAGTTGAATTACCTGGTACGGTAAACTGGTTGAGCCTTATCCTCACGAGAAAGAAAAGGAAAGGAGCAAAAGAGAGGGGAAAAAATGAAATCGTGCTCGCGACCATATTTATCATGTTTATTATCCAAAAGACCTCCGTTAGAATTACTTTCATATTTAAAGATACATTCCTCCACACGAATTTTTGGCAACACGTTTTGTCATCACTACAACCTGTGAAATGTGTAACAATTTTGAAGTATTGCCGACGAGACTTGTCACTGACACGGCTGTATCGTGACTATTTTTAATTGACAATAACTCATCTCCGACTCTAACAACGGCGGCTACTTTGTCACATTGAAGACAGTATATATATATATATATTTCATCGCGCACGTTGACACTCGAATATTAATGTTTGCGTTTGGATGTACTTTGCATAGTGAATTATTAAGTTTTCAAGAACTCGCCTAATGAACGTTCCCTTTACACAGTCTTTCATGATGCACTGCTCGATTGTGCGCGTTTGCATTGCTACGGTGCTCTTTTACGATACGAGAAAGTTATCTTCGCGAACGAACTTGCCGGGAAAGCTTTATCTTACGATTTAGTACTAACACGTGCACTCACACGGGCTTAAATTCATATCTTTCTTAACTAAGGAAACGCCTTCCTCTCATGTGTTACCGCGTCATCGATACCATCCTGCAAACAATCTCTACACTAAAGGATAATGTCTGTGTTTTTATATACTACTAAACTGAAAGATATACATATGTATGTACATATATACATATATGTATATTGCAGATATATATATATATATTACGTAATCGTCTCAATATCATGTAGTGCTAAAAACAAGTAACGTGAAATCGTGTTTGCTAACAATGTACGGTGTATCAAAGGTCGCGCACTTGGCATACTTTCACACTTTGATCACCGTTTCACATCACTTTTTTCTTCGTTGACGCTTGTGTTTCCGCAAGGGTCCCATCATTCTACGGGGGAGGTTTTACTCTTCTTCAAGTGGGAATAATTTTATTAGATATTCATAAGAATATTAAATGGGAGAGAACAGAATGTCCTTAATGTAATATATTAAATCTGTTAAAGTTACATTCAAAAGTATATTGATTTTGCGTTAAATTCTTGAATGAAGTTAATTTTTGTGGCATGAAAAATACCGAGGTTCGTAATTGGTATGAGAGAATAAATATTGAAAGCACTGTATTTTATGTACAGTCGCACGCACACACGATAGCTAGAGAACTGATAGGGGAATCACGTTCGCGGCGGTTCAAAGTGACAAAGGATCGATGATATTCGACGATCGAGAGAATTTGAACTTGAATCAATACATTGTTGAATAAAATTGTGCCCGGTAATATCGCTCGGCTCTACTTGACCCTCCTCAAAAATTCCTACGAATCGCTTATCGGGCGACAGATATATTTCCGTATCTACTTCAACTTTAAATTCAACGACGAATCTATATAATCGAAGGGAAAGTACGCGACCTACGATACATCTCGTACAACGCAGATATCTTCGGCAATAACAAGCACACATAAATTAAAGGTAAACTTAGCATGCTGTGTATGTATATTCGCGGAGACACGCGTAGACAGGGAAAAAAAAAGAAATCGCCCGCAGAATATTTTTCTCTTATACATAGAAATGTGATCGTTAACTCTAGCGGATAACTTGTGTGTATGTGTGTGTGTACAAATGAATACCTCAAGATTGTTTACACGGCTCATTGCGTGGTTGACGAATTCAATGCAAAAGTTCTGCCCGGAAACGCGTAGTGATGACAATGTATGTGCATATATATTGCGCGCATATATACGCTGTGCGAGTGCACGAGCATGATGATTACGAATCGTTACACATTCGCATAAATAAGCGTGTATAATTGTTGGCGCAGAGATGCAAAGAAAAATGAAAAAAGAAAGTCTTTCTATACGATCACTCTCACGCAACCTAATTCGCTTGACAATGGTATAACACTCTCAACTGTATATGACAATATAGACTGGAGTGATCCTCAGTGACCCGATGGTGACCTTTTACGCGCCATCTTTTGATATTACCAAATTGCGTTTTTGGTGTACTATATTATACTTCAGGCAAATATCTCGAACTTCATTCGAACCTTGAACACTTTTCCCGAGTGTGAAAACATACAACATAAAGTATACATCCATTTACCATAATCTGGACATTTGCAAGAGAACACGCGGGTGTATGAAAATATGTCTATGAATGATACACGACGAATCCGGTGAAATGCGCTCAACTGTTACTTCACATGTGACTATCAGTGTCGCTCGCATTTCCCGCTGTTTTCCTTTCTCACACATTTGCGGCGTGCACACGTAACGGCGAAAATGTTGAAATGCTCTTTCCAAAGTAGAGATCATTTTTGAAAGGGAAACACTCGATATATCGTGTATTTTGAACGGATATTATTACTGCAAATTGATCCCATGATCTTGTTATCGGTCTGCGCGATTGATGTTATCTTTTTTTTTTTTTTTTAATCTTCTCGGTACGTGAATATTCATTTTTTTGGAATGAAAACGGAAAAAAAGAATTACGCTATTCACACATTCCTTCTGCCGTAAATTTGTCACGCCACACGTACGAATTACATACTTCCTACATCACAGGGATCACATTTGCATTGATATATTCTATATATCTAACATTAATCTAACATCGCATAAGGAACTAATGTATTTTTTCTTCTTTTGTATATTGGATTGGATTGTAACACAATGAATGAAAAACTGAAATCAACACGATCTTACTTCTTGGATGGATATAATACACATTCGCTTGGCGTTGGGATGGATTGCGTTTTGGACGGATTTTGTACGGAGCATAAATTGTAAGAGGATTAAAGGCATAGGATGAAAGGGAGAGAATAGCGAAACGGGATACTTTCAAGAGGAAATTCAGGATCAGGAGAGGATTTGGATGAAAGAGAGATGATTCGTTCCATTCAAGGATTCTCAATTAGCTGGATTATACCGGATTAGCTGGATTTAGCTGGATCAGGAAACGTTGGCAAGTCCATTACGAGGAGGCAAACTAATCATTAACATTTCTTTTTGAGAACAAAAAAAAATACGGCAAAAGTAGTAAAATCCCAGTTTGAGACTAGAGATTTTTTGTGCGTCTGTTTTGAGAGGAAACATAACGAGAGTGGAACTTACTCATTTATGTTATGTGCTTATCTGGATTGCTCGTTCAAGTGCTTCGAAGATATTAATATTTTCGCGCACTGTCGGTAAAAAAAAAAATAGAAACAGACCATTTCCGCGTTTGCATTAAATCACTAGATAAGTCCGTAACACACAGTCAAACCAGTAATGGATTGTCAACTGCACAGATTCTGTTGGGAGCGTTTTTCTTTTTTTACAATTTTTCTGTCTTTTTTTTTCTATATATATATATTTTTTTTTTCTTTTTTCAATTTTTACGGAAATTAATTTTTCCTCGCCGAAGGACGACGGATTCTCGGCGCGAGATTTGTTTTCTTCTCGACGCGACAATACGATGCCGTCAACGCTAGACGCTTGATTTTTTTTTTGTTGATGTTCGTCACGCACGAGAAGACTCGTATCTAGTGTATTAACTTCAAAGGTGGAAGTGACTTTTTTTTTTCTTCCCTGGGACGACCGTCGCGCGCTCGTTTGCGCCCTGATTACGTCACCTGATAACGCCGCGGTGACTCCGAAAAATTCCGAAATTCCGTCGCGCGGGAAAACGCGGGAGAAAGAAAGAAAGAAAGAAAGAGACACGTGTCTGCCGGTACCGGTACAGTCGCGTTTTCTCGATGTGATGATCACGAAGTGCATCTTTTTGTCGCGCGCGCGCTGCAAACTGCGGCGCGAGTCTTCAGGATTTAACCCGGCATAGAAATAAGAAGATGCTACAGTTGTGAGTAAAGCGAACTGTCTGTCACATCTTGACGAGGACCGGCTCTCCCATAGTTTTAGAGGGAGTACTCAATATATACGAGTGGCGGACGGACAGGATTCCGAGAGAGAATGTGTTTGGATTAGGACGCTGAGAGAGAGACAGGATTATCGAGACGGGATTAATTAGTATGCATGTGGACGATTTTTGGATACGGATGTATAAAAAAAAAATTACGCCGACGAGTATTCAGCGGAGTCGCGTCGCAACGTCGGGATCACGTCGGATTCGGATTGATGAGTGGACGGTACGGAGAAATAAACGGATGGATGGATTTGGATTTCAAGTATTGTCCTGATTAAGCGCGCATGCAGCCGAGCATGATGCCGTTCGCGCTACATAGGGTTCACGGATTTCTCTCCTAGGTCGGAAATATGGAATTTGGAAGTTGCGTGGTTAGCAGGATCGGAGTTGCGACAAGAGAGATAGTCGGGATATCATTTTTCACGGAGAACACGAAAAATATAAACCCGGATCAGAGACCGCTTGCCGTAAGGTATTTGTGAACAGTTTCTACCTGAAAGTACTATCGATATTTATTTCTGCATGCTCTCTTTATCTCTCTCTCTCTCTCTCTATCTATCTATCTATCTATCTATCTATCTATCTATCTATCTATCTCTTTCTCTTTATACATTCTCGAAGATATCTTACATTCACGTTTTTTTTCGTTTTGTCACCGACAAGGTAAACGTTAACTTAGTAACACGCAATACCTCGCCTGCCTCGGTACAGTCTTACAAAGTGTGTTCTGCATTAATAATCGATCCCCCCTCCCCCCCCCCCTATATTCAGTTTCACTTACATTGTTATGAGATGTGTTATGTACACCGCAAAACAGGTTCTTTCACAACAATAATCACGACAAGTTCTGTCTCCCCCCTTCCCTCTTCCTTTTTTCTCTATTTTTTTCTTTCAATTAATAAACGTCGATTGTGGTATATAGTTTTCGGTATATCTTCTGCCGTTTCTGTTACTGTCGTTCTCTTACACGATACCATAGCTAATTATTAGATGAACGATGTAGAGCAGTAAGAGAAACGTAGCGTTTCGGATCTTGAACGTCTCTCGCATAGTGTGTATTTATCCACAAACACACACACTTCAGACACACCGGGATATCGGGCAATAACAGTCCCCCCCCCGAGTTGCGCTTATCCAGTTGTCTGTCTGTCAGTTTACGAGTTTACCATTATTAACCACGCTAATTTTATTTTATTGTTCCGTGCATTGTACATACATATATATTTACATATATGTATATAATATATATAAGCGCTACGTTGTGCGGGATGTACTTCTTCTTCGTAACTTTAGGCACTAAACAAACACCGATCGCTTCGCACTTTTATTAAATAGGATTATCTTGTTACATCGCTTTCTTGCAACATCCCTTTCTTAATACACAGTGCCAGGTTTTGTGAAAATTATTGAACTGAGTAGGTGGGACGATGGAAAATAAATGCGTCAACACGAACACGGCGTTATTTTATGCGATCCTCCTTCAATCTGCAAACGAATAGTAACTTTCACGGTCCCCGATCTTTATTTCACTCTCGTGAGAGATTTATTCGTTTGTTATTTTATTCACCACCAATGAGTTCAATGTGTGAACCTTGCGTTTTGGGTACGGTGTGAATTTAACGAAGGTGAAGAATTACCGCTGACTACAATCACGGAATCACATGGAATCTCATGGTTGCTCTTGAAGATGTGCGCCAAAAACTCAGGTCTCAGCAATCCATGTGGATTCCTATATGGATTTTTAATATCCTATACGGAGATTCCTTTAATATCCTTCACGTGCGATCCCTTGAATTTCCATGGGAATTTACTCCATCTATTTGTTTATTCCATCCAAAAATTTTCAACAGGGTCACAACTGCGTCTTACAGACTTACAGTGACATTCTTACGGACATAGGATGGCCTTTACGGTGAAGAGCAGCTCGTTGATCGGGAGAAAATTGACAACACGACAAGTGTTGGAAAGGAATGCAAACGCTTTATTCTTATTAGTCACAGATCTATTCTGAGTTACACAGTGTCCTCCTCCGTAAGACAGACGTAGTAGGGTTACCGTCGCCGGCGTTTCATTTAGATAATCTCACGGATGGGCGTGATGACGAGGTCCTTGATCAGCACGGTCTCCGGAGTCAGCAGCGCGAAGAGGATCGCATCGGCCACGTCCTTTGGCTTCAGGCTCAATCGTGGGTTCTCCTTCAGCCACTGCAGGGTCATGTCGGTCTCCACCAGACCCGGGCAGATGTTCTGTCGCGAGAGGAATGGAAAGAAAGAGAGAAAGGATTCGTGTGAAAATCATCCACCAAAATTCGCCCTTACACATTTATCTCGCCGAGTACTCACGATCACTTTGATGTTGGACCCGTTCTGCGCCAATTCCAGACGGAGGCACTCGGTCAACGCGGTCAACGCGTACTTGCTGCAGGTGTACGCCGGCGAGATGGGCCGATCGGAAGCTAGCAGACACTTCAGGCCACAAACGTCGTTGATGTTCACGATGCAGCCGTTGTCGATATCTGAGATGATATGTATTGGGTTGCTCGATAAATTCACAACGACTTTTGCGAGCAATTCAAAGACCACTTTTGTCGTTAGGCATAATTTCATTCAATGATGTATCGACCGTTTTCTTTTTATGGCAAATCATCGAAGAAAGCGAAAAAAAAGATCAAGTTATGCCTAAGTGTAAAAGTATATCTATTTAATTTGGAATTTTTCGTTCAGATATATATATATATATATATATATATATATATATCAGTAGTCAGAATTAATCGTATTATTTATGCGATTTTTTCTTACACAAATTTTATGTTACTATCAAATTCACTTATACACGTTTCTGCGTTATTACTTAATATTATTACCTACTAATAATATATTTATTAGTAATATATTTATTAATAATATATTTGGATAAGGCAGTAAAACCAGCTATACAGTTGTGTCGTGCCTTTTGATCGCTATCAACACAATATCTCACAATACTCTTAGATTTGGTAATTTTAATGTCCAATAAAGAAATATTATTATTATTATTTCTACGACTACGTCTACTTGCTTTCCCTTATCCGTCCCGCTTATCCGTTAAATCTCACGATTGATATTTGCTTTGTTCAGCCCCTCCTTTTAATGTATTTCGCCCTCAATCGACGCACGATACTCACCCTTGTCCTTCATCAATTTCAGAATCTGCTTGGTAATGTACGCCAAGCCGAGCACGTTGATGTCGAGAGTCTTCTTGAGCTCCTCTATACCACCGTTTACGCAGGACCAGTCGATGTTAATGCCGGCGTTATTTATCAGAATGTCCACGCTACCCAGGTTCTTCTGAATCCACACTATGGTGCGCTCGATCTCGCTTTGAACGGACATGTCGCATTGAAAAGGACAGAGCTTGCCAGGCTTGTCCTTCAGCTCTTCTACGAGGATCTGTGAAAGTTCCCGGATTTCCTCTTTTATCAATAGCTTTGGAAACCAAAAAGCTTTCGGCCTTCTACAACCATTTGTACTATTTTTCTTCATTCTATCAACGAGAAAGGTAGCAAAACGACTGTCACATTCTGATAGATTTGAAACTTTATTTAGAACGAAGTACGTATGAAATTGATAACAGTGATTTTCTTTCGACTGAGAAATGGTTTTGAAGAAAGTTTCGAAAAACCTTGCCGAACTTTTTCCCTAAAAAGTCGCAACCATCTGTCTCTACTCGAACGAACAGTTAACATCTACAATCATCGTTAACAGTGTGAGAACGTACGTTCAGCTTGTCCAATTCAGAGCCTAGGGCGACGACCTTGCATCCCTTTATGATCAACTCCTCGACGATCGCCTTACCGATGCCGGCACTGGCGCCGGTGACGACGACGACTTTGTTCATCAGACGGTCCATGTCGTGGGTGCTTCGTCGCTACGGCCGAGACAGAGAGAAAATAAGCTGCTTGTCGCTGGGTTGCCGCAAGGAGCTGCTTCTGCACGGCCGAGGGATCCTCGACATCTCTTTATACCGCCTTGGAAGTGCGGCCCTCGATTAGGGGGTCGCGCGCAATCTCCGGGCGTCTCTAGATAATCCATTGTTTTCTGGATGATGCATTCCCGCGCGCGTGTTGCATATTGCATATCGACGCGATATTTTTGCCGTGCTGTTTTCGGCTTGTAATCCAATCGCGGCCGGAGAAGCCGACGATGATACTCCATTCAGGTCTGGAGTACTCCTCGCGCTCGCAGATAATCGTATCGTCCGACAGCCTCTTGTGCGTTTCTTATCGCCGAAACGATATATTAATTATTGAACGTGAGATCACCACATTTGCCGGAGCACAATCGACTGTAGTTACGCAAGGATCCAACCCATCGAATTATGATTTTTGACATTTTTTCACCAATGGTCACGTCTTTCTAAAATCAAACAGATTTAAACTTTACGGGTGTCAAAAATTAGTTAAAAAACAAAGTTTTTTTCTTTCCTACCGGTTATGCCATTTTTTATTCATTTTTTAAGGGTTAAGCTTGTCAACGAATACCCTTAAAAGGATGCTTGACTTCTTGAATGATTGTGAAGAGAACCTCGGTGCTTCTTCTTTCAGTGTGTGTAATCTGTTTTCATTGAATGCAACAGAGTCAGATTCGGCTTAAAAAAAAGAAACGAACTGTACTTTCTACCGATCTAATATTAATTAGTCCGATTATCGCGTCAATTGAGTAGCATTATCGTAACATACGCGGTGTCCTTTGACACACACGTATCAGCCTCTGGCACGCAGTGTAATTGGTACACGCTGTAAAGATCGGCTATAAACATGAAGATACGCGGGCAGACTCGATTATTCGGTAGCTTTGAGGTGGCATCGCGGCCGAGTGTGAAAAACAACGGCAGACAGGGGTGAGGAATGTCCAGCTAACGAAAATTCAAGCGGAGCTTTCCACGGAAAACGCCGTCGGGCACGATAACGCGCACGATAGCTCCGCTAAAGGAGCTCTGTTTCGTCAGAATTTCCAGATTCCTCGCGGATCGGTCGACGACCCGCACCCTCGACCTGCCCGCGAACAAAGCTTGGCCGCCGGTTGTGCGGATGTCGGCGAGCTGGAGACCCGCAGGTGACCGCGAGCCTTGCTCGAGAACGGTTCTGAGCGATGCAGCGGATCGAGCTCGTCCTCGTCGAGAATACTTGCTGCTTTCTCGAGGATGCCGATGACTCGGCCGCTTCAAGGTCCCAACGATCTTCTCGGTGGCTAGTCGAGTCGTTTTTTACGACTGAGGAGTGAATGATGAATCCTTGCGATGCTGAAAATTGATCAACGACGTCGAGAGTAGACTCTCACATAACAACAGACCGTCGTCCAACAACACGCGAGCTTTCAGATGTCTTGATGATCCCTTTGTACGTATGAAAATTCTCTATCAAGCTAATTTTATCATCTTTACGTACATCAAGTAGCGAAGCAACTGGTGGTTGACGTTTTGTCGATGCGCGGCAGCAACGCTATATTTAATTTTATATTTAATTTTATTTAATTTCAATATTTAATGTACTAAGCTTAATATATTAAGTCTATTTTAGTATGTTAAATATTATACTATATTAATCTTATATCAAAATCTTACATTAAATTTTTTATTTTTTCTACTATTATATGATTGAAATACACACACAGTGTATTGTAACATGCCTAAGTTAGATTAATTAACAAAATGCTTTCGCTTCTATCTCTTACAATAAGGAAAAAATATAGAAAAAATGCGGTGAAAATCGACTCTTTTATTGACATCTTTCCCATAAGAAGCATAACTGCCAGTTACATTCAGCATTTCTCATAGGACTTGAAAATCGATTAACACGAGACTGGATTACCAGGATTCACCCAAAGGTCTCAGCACGACGTCCTGCACCTACGGAAGAAGAATCGGCCCCTCAATTCTATGCGATGGGAAGCAACAAGCTCAAGTTATGCATGACGTAAACGTACCAGAACGTGAGGAGGATTGGACAGCACGTAAATCGCTGCTGCCGCTACGTCGTCTGGATTCAACGTCGGCATCGCCATCATCACCTCCTCGGAGAACATGCTGTAGGAGGCCATGAACTCCGTCGCGACCAAACCGGGACTGATGCTCTGCGCAAAGACAAAGATGTAAGTAAAGAATTCATAATGCAAGTGAAATGAAAGCGAAAACGCACAATTGTTATAGTCTTTGCTCTGTATGATTTCAGCCATAATTTACGTTTATCTCGCGAGAAGCATCACTCTACTCTGTGTGTTAATGCGTTTCAAATGCAATATATTTCTCAAAAATCCACAGATTAACATATTTCAAATAAATATTCGTCTATTTCTTTCCCCAGACTACTCTGTGTATTAATATTGTTCAGTTTCAGTGTATTTCAAAGTCATAGATTTCAGACTGATATATTTCCAAATTCAACATCTCAAAAGTAATTATTCGCCTGCCTCCTTTCAGACTTTTCTGTATATTGATATCTTTCGATTTCCGTATATTTCCAATTCATCGATTTCAGATTAATATATTCGCAAATTCAATATTTCGAATGAATATTTTTCTCGTATCTTTCCTTCAGCCGCCTCACCGTGACGCGTATACGCGAGCCCGCCAGCTCGTGCCGCAAAGACTGCGCGAGGCCGGTAACGGCGCGTTTCGACGCCGGATAGGCGCCGAATCCCGGCACGAAGGGTAATCTCTCGCCGGCGAGACTGTTCACGTGGATCACGACGGAGTCTTCGTCGTCGGTCCTCTCTCGCATTATGCGCACCGCCTCGCGCGTGCACAGACTGAGTCCCAGAACGTTCACGTCGAACACAGACCGCCATTCCTCCAGGGACCCGTCTGTCAGAGGGACGCGTGGATTGATTTATTATAAAAATTACAACATAAATAATATAAATTAATTAGTTATCCGTTAAATTAAAAATCAAATATAGAAATTAATCGAACAAAATTGAATCTCGTCAGCAGGATCAAGTGGGAGATTAGGGATGTCCACCTACGACCGAACGAAGCGAATCCTTACCCGCGAGCGAGGACTCCTTGGTGATGCCGGCGCTGTTCACGAGGACGTTTACCGGCCCGAGATTGTCCTTCACCCATGCGAAAGCCGCGACCACGCTCTCCTCCTTAGTAACGTCGCACTCGACGGCATGAAGCTTCCCCGGGGAGTCCTCCAGGCTGCCGGCGATCTCCCTGATATTCTCCACCCTCCTCGCGAAACCCGCCACTGTCACACCTAGTGAAATGTAAAGCTCGATCAGGCGCGTGAGAGAGCGCTAACTCGGCATAGATCGACTTCCAGTCCCAATAACACGGCTCGGCAATGACGCGCATCTCGTGATAATTTTGCTTACCGAAATAATACCGGTTGTTTCTTTTCTCAGTTAACGGAGGCGATTAACGGAGACGAGAACGGCCGGTTATCTCGAGTTGAGATAAACGCCCGCAAGTTCGACTTCGGTCCTTCTCCGCGAGGAAGCAAGGACGTTAACGCGCAACACAAGCGTAATTTCAGGGTATCTTCTTTAGCGTGAACTCGTGAAAAGTGTAGATTTTCTCATTTGAAAACATCTGCGACTTTTCACTTTTCACGTGTTCATCCTAAAAAAAAAATAATTACACGATCGATACCCAGCGTTCGCTCACCTTGTCGAACGAAACTCCGCGCGATCGCCGCGCCGATCCCGGCGCTGGCTCCTGTGACCACGGCGATCTTCCCGGCCCAACGCTCCATCCTCGTGCGACGTCCACCGTGCGACTGCAGACCGCAGCTTTCGTTCGTAATAGGATCGTACTAGCCTTTGCCGTCCCGGACGCGAATAAGTGAAAAATTACAGTCGTCCGAGCAGGTACGAAATCCGATAACCGTCGTACGGCCGACCACTGTCTGGCCTCGATCAAATATATTATAACTACACTCGCCTATTAGATCGAATCACAATCTCGATCTTGGTCGAGTGAAACACTGATACATCGGGAGGGAAGAGAACTAAATTCTCTTGATTTAAACCGGGCATTATTTGCTCGGTTTAAGCAAGTAATGCTCGATTTAAGTAAACATCGCGTAAGGATCCGTCAGAGAAATATTCGTTTGTTTTTAGATACTTTCCTCTCTCTCTCAGTGAATTGTTTAACTCACGTTTTTCAGAGCTGTCTCATTATTTTCTTACTTTTTCACGAGTGAAACTTACTTTTCTCACTACTTTCGACGCTCTCACGCCGGTACGAAAAAATCCGAGTCGCGCCGGATCTCGCGCAGAAAAGAAAAGAAACTGGGCGGAGGTGAAATAAATATCGTTCACCGTCGGCTACAAGTATATATTGGGCATAAGGCGTCTACATGGATGAGTACTATACAATGCGAGGTATTAATTTCTCTTCTAAGAGGTCTCTAAGGTTTCTCTCTTTCATCGCATAACCGTGATACACACACCTCGAAATGACAATGATCGATCGACATATTAAACGTCTAAACGTGGCGTCGACCGAGAGTTTCTAAACACCGGGGGGAGGGGGGGGGGTTAGGCAGATAGATTTTGGNACGTCGGGATCCGATCCTGCTTCTTCTACTATTTTTTCCCCGGATCTTTAGAAGAGAACCACATCCTCTGAACTCTCTTAGGAACGCACTCCCCTCTCTAGCTCAGCCGGCGAGCGAGCGAGCGCTACGCGAGTTTATGTATATTCGTATTAAAAGACGAGAAACCAAAAAAAAAGAGAGGGGGGGAACGCGTACACCTGCGCTTGTACCGCTTATTACATCGCCGATTCCTATCTACAAGTCGTATTCCTTTTTTTTTTTTTACAAATATCTACTTACGCTTCTTTACGTTGCATGAAAATATATCATCTGACATTTGCGTGTGTATGTGTGCGTGCGTGCGTGTGTGTATGTGTGTGTGTGTGTTGGTTGTTCGAATGTGTGACCGTAGAACTACGCTACACGTTTACCTCACACGAAGAGTTCGCGCGGCTGGTGTACAATTTCGTCGTCTGTCCTAGGCTGCTGGTCGTTTGTCTATGTTTGTTAACGCGTTAACGCGCGAATCGGTCAACGCGCTGGGAAATGTCGAGAAACAGACGGTAAGGAAAAAACGCAACGTTCCTCATCGCGTGTGCGGAAAGGTTCCTCCTTCTTCTTCCTGTTTCGCACTTAGTGCCGACGACTACATCCGACTATGTCGCGCGGTTTGAAACCGCGTACGGCCCGGCGCTATTACAATGTAACCGATGCATCGCGCGCGCTTAACTGAGTAACGTGCTCGAGTCGGGTGCGGGAAAAAAACGCAGGATGTAGATTTTTTACACAGCACTCCCTGAGACGTCGCCTTCTTTCCTTCAGTTTCAGAATAGTGGAGAGGGTGGGGGGGAGGGGTGGTAAGGTGTATTGTACAGTCATTACATTATATCGTATATAATGCCTAATCACTCCTGGGAACATTACATGTACCCTAATTACATGCTCTATCGCTACCGGGAGGGGGGAGGGGGTAGAATTTGTCCTTTCCTCCTCTTCTTCTTTTTTCGCTTCTCGTAGTCGAGACCGTACAAAATAACGACCACCGCGCGTGTTTACGTTCGAGACACGCGACATACGACGGGATACATGTCGTCTCTGTACATTCTATTACAACAACACGACAGTATTCTCGCTTAACACATCACACACCGCGACCGTGAGAGCTGAGATCGCAACGCAAAGTCACCGGTTAAGTTTCATTGCAGACGCGGCGGAGAGAAAGACGACGAACGAGCCGCCGCCCGTCACCCGTGCTCGCGCAGGATCATTCGGACGTGCGAGAGCGACGAGGCGCGACTCCGGCAGCGACAACCGAGGGAAAGCCAGCGAGGGATTTCCGCGATTTCCCCGGCGGCTTGTCCGCGAGACGCGGCACTCGCCATCTTATTTCTCGACTTACTATTCACGCGGGCTAAAATAAATCTTTGCTCTTCCGAACGTCGCGGACGATCACAGCTTTTTTTTTATCTCTTTACAATCTGTCGCGTATATCATATAAATTGTACCTCCAATTATATTACGAACGTTTTATTGTATTTAATTGCTTTAGGTGACACGTACACGTATAACACGCCTACGTGTGAGTACGAATAGAAGAATACGATTACCTATCACATTAACGCGAGAGACTACACGTCACAGAGAGAGCTCTCTCTCTCTCTCTCTCTCTCTCTCTCTCTCTCTCTCTCTCTCTCTCTCTTTCCAGAGAGAGCAAGTAGCCCAGAAAGGAATGCTCGCAACCATCAGCTGACACGCCGGTCGTTATCGTGCGGCTTCTTCTCACGCTCGTCGCCGTCCTCGACTCCGGTCGAAGGTAACAAACGACGACGACGTTTACGCCGGCAAACAAATACTTCCGCTTTCCGGAAAAATGAAGGGTGTCAATCGCCTCGTTACCTTTGCCCTTGCATACATACTGTGTGTCCCTGACGTGGGATGAACTCGCAAATAAATATCTCGAGAGAAAAGAGAGATAGAGGTGTAGAGGGGGAGGAAGAGAGAAAGAGAGAGAAAGAGAAAGAGAAATCGTACACTTATACCCAAGGTAGACAGGCGTAAGGGGCGCAGCTATTCTTACGTTGGATGCCCACGAACGGAAGCGAGTGTCTTTGCCTGTGTCAGTGTTGACGAGGCTGAGGATCCAGTTGCGTGTTTTTATGCGCCTGCGGCGTTACGTTACTCGGCTGTGCCGGTTGCTCCTGCCTGTGTTGCTGCTGATACAGGTGTCGGGGCTGGTGATGTTGCTGGTGCTGCTGTGATTGGTGATGCTGCTGCTGCTGCTGCGATTGGTGCTGATACTGCGGCTGGTGTTGCTGCTGATACTGCGGCTGGTGGTGTTGCTGCTGATATTGCGGCTGGTGGTGTTGCTGCTGATACTGCGGCTGGTGCTGTTGCTGATACTGCTGTTGATGCTGCTGCTGTCGTTGTTGATGCGTTTGTAACGCACTGTGTTGCAGTGTACCGTGCTGTTGCTGCTGCTGCTGTGGCTGCTGCTGGCCCTGTTTTCGTTGCTCCAATCCGGCCGCCACGTAAGAAAATACGCAGAGAACAGCGTAGCAGATCTCAGATGCCTGCGAACGAGGAAGCGTTTGATGCCACCTGTGCAGGTACTCGGTTCACGTTTAATTGACAGACGGAAAAATTAATGAGAGACATCAGAGATTAATGTCCGTGAAACGTGAGAACGGGAGAATTAAGTAAAAATGTCATCAACTGAATCGAAGAAACGGAACTTACGTGAGATGTGAGAAACGAAAGAAACTCAATGAGATAAACCACACGCGATGTCGGTCTCGCGCTTACAGGTCATGTGACGACCCTCCGACCGGACTTTGTGAAGGGTAAATGCGACCGAAAATATTCTATGTATGCAGCGAACCGCCTCTTCAGCCTGTTACACAACACACAACTACATATGTGACCGACGCACGAGGAAATAAAAAATTCACGACGTATTCTACATATAATTATATATAGGTAATTTTTTTCCTCGGAAAAAGAGAGAATTACGTTGTCCACTTTATGTCAAATAAAACAGATGTTTCATGATTTCTTCTTAGGATTAAACACCTTTTATCATTACGATGAAGATTCTACGAGATTTTCGCCAGGAAAATCGTAGAAAATCGGACGTATCAATAATTGACGGGACAGAATGACACTCACCATTTGTGACTTATATTTACGTTGAATTACTTGTCTAGTTTTAGGATCTGAAACAGAAGAAAGTACATGGTGAAATCCGGTCGGCCGAACAACCGAGATGGCGTAAATTGCAGCGTAAGCGTGTGTGTCACTAACGTGGAACTACATACTCCACGAGACGTGTCTACGGGCGTGGAAAGCGGTATTATATTAATAATTGATGCGGTATTCGAGATATGTGGTCTCACACTTACTGAATTCTTCCAAAACAAAGATTCCATCCTTTTGAGTAAAGCACTTGCGGATATGATCGAGTCTTACAAAAAACTGCAAATAACACAATTGTATTGCGTTAGTCAGTGGTCTACGGCATGTCGCGCGTACATCTGGATCTACCCGATCATGCACACTCGTGTGACGAGATTCCCCATCTTATGCGCCGACAACAATAATCGACCGTGTGTGTATATACGTGTATGTGTGGCTATGGGTGTGTATGTGTGTGTGCGAAACAGCTCTTTTTAAAGGCGTGAGAGATGGATCGTGATGCTCGTCCGACGATAAACGTCTGCTTCCACCCTTAACCACGCGCTCGACGGGCTCTGTGTACAGATCTTTTTCATGTATCGATGTTTTTCACACGCTATATCGTATACTCTGTGTGTGTTTTATTCCGTACGCGTCACCATACGGAATTCACGTATGAAAGTAGGCGTTTGGAACTAGGTGTTGCTTGTGATACCTCGACATTAGAAAAATCGTCCGGAAAAATTGTACGTTACTCTCCATCGACTGCCTCGCTCGTTGGGTACGGTGACACGTGCAACACACACGAGACACGGAGGGTCGTCGTTAAATCGGTTGTAACATCTACAATTGGAGTGATCGTTATCGATAAAGTTACACGTCGCTCACGAGACAGCGATAGATATGATTGACGTTGAATGCGAAGCGATGCTCGTATACGCAGAAACACTATGTCGGAAGGAGATCGCGTTTCTTCCGTTTGTCCGATAAATGCACGAAAAACGTTTATCCCGAAGACGCTTATCTTTCTTATATTTCGCATGAAAAACATCGTCCGTCCGCGTCCCGAAATCCTACTTGGCGGGTAGAATGGCGGTTAATTAAGATATTTGATCCACAGTCCTGGATTTCCAGCGGCGATATTAAGGGGCTATTGCAGAAGTTTATTATTTACTGAAAAAAAAATTGTTTTTTCTATAACTTTATTTAACTATCTAAATGTAGTTTAGAAGAAATTGAAAGTAGAAATTAGAAATAGGATATTAATTAAAGGAATAAAGGAAGGTATGAAAAATTGCACTTTTAGTTGCGAATACCTCAGCTTCTCAATAGTCAATCATTTTCTAACTTTACAGACGTGTAGATGCATAATATTTCCATCAAAATGCAGCTAAAATTTAAAAGGATTCCTGAAAAGATGGTTCGACAGACCGACTACCTCAAAAAACAAGCAATAAAATTCCTAATAAATGTGAATATAAATTTTAAAGAAAAAAAAACGGGTTTCTTCAACTTTCCGCGGATTTTTTAGTTTCTTTCCGAAAGATAAAAAAATTCGTTTAGAAAAATTCACTTACGATTAAAATCTGCCATGTTCTTCCTTTCGGCAAAGAAAATAATTAATTAACAAACTTTAATTAATTATGATAAAGAAATATTAGCTCTTTTGTGCTCTGATTTGCGAATTAAATTAATTTACTCTACCCGTCGGATAGGATTTCCGAACGCAGTCCTGCGTGCAAAACGAACGACCGATAAAGTACGAAATTCTCCCGTATTCAGAAATATTCTGAATGTCAATGCGCTCGAAGTCGCGGTTTTATCGTCCTGAGAGAACTCTGAGCGCACGCGATCTTATTCTGCCGAGCAGTTTTCGTCACGCAATAATCTCTCGAAAAGGACGAGTGACAGACAGACAGACCAAGTGGCGCGCTACGCATGTTGGAGGGGAAAGATTGCAGGTAATCGATAATCGACAACTGTCGTAATACCAAAGTGGAAATATCCATCGCACGTGCATAAGGTGTGTGTATACGAGCTTTCGAGTAAACGAAAGAAACGAAATCGGAAGGCTCGAGTCCAAGTACCTCGGCATGCAAACACACACACACAGGAACAACCTTCCTGGGGAAGCCGCGTCTAACGATCGTGTTCCTTACAACGCATGCACAACCCTACAGTATATAATAATCGCTACCATTCGATCGCAAATATTCACAGGAGCGAGCAACAGGAGGACCGCTCTCGCAAAACTCAACTTCCAGACCGACGACTCTCAGACAACGGGAATTTCCAAGATTAGTGTAATCTCTCGAATTTTCCAAAATAGTGTAATCCAATTTAATATAATTTAACGGAGAGAGGATATAATTGAATTTTGCAAGTTTCGTCACGCGCTGAGTTTTGCGAGCGAACGGTCCCCCCTCGGTGAGGCGGCAAGCGTAAAAAAAAGCGCACCAGCCAGGATCTCTACCCCAGACTACCAAGGACTACCGGCGAGACCTCAAAAAAGTGACTACCGAAGACACCATGCATCATTTAGCCGCTAATCTCGGCTAATAATCTGAGCCTCTAAGCAATAGACGATCGAGCTGCGACGACGGCGAACGAAGCGGCGAACGTCAGCGGTATAGTGGCAGGCGTAATAGCAGCGGCAGGCAACTCTGGAGATGGCCTAAACTTAATCGTAAATGTCACTGATTGCTTAGCGTCGATAAGTTGCTAAATGTGCAATTGTATTATCTAATACAGACCGGTGGACGTGGTCATCGACAATGATGCACGGTCGTGATATATATATCGATCGTGGGTGGTATATATAATCGAGGAGGGAGGGGCGAAGAGGCATGGCGAGATAACAAATGTCGAATATAACAAACGTCACTGTCGGGACGGGACGAGAGGGGGGGAGGAGGGGGGGGGAAGAGAATCGGTACAATGTCGTAAACAAGAAACATTATGTAGCAGTGCCATGCTATAAAAGTGTATATAATATATTGTGGCAGAGGTATATACGTGAGGCTCACGAGTCATAGTTTTCACGACGATCTCGCGGAGAGTCTCCGTTCGTAAAAAAAAAATATATATATATATATGTTCGGACATCACTATACAGCACGAGAAACCATTGCTCTACTACATAACTAGCAGTGTGTCTGGTAGATTCGTGGGAACGATGTGTATCACGACCATGTAAATCGGGCAGCTCAATTCTTGTCGGTTCGTGTGTTGTCCATTACAAAAACCCCGTTTGAGCAGCAAGGCGGAGAGAGAAAGAGAGCGAGAGAGAGAGAAAGAGAAAATTACTTATTAGATATTAATTTGCGAGTATACATAGAGAGAAAGGTCTCTTTAGATTTAGTGCATGTGTTTATATATAGAATATAAAATAATATCAAATATGATTTTATTTGAGTAAAAATGTCTCACTTAGATAAGCCTTGTTTGATAAAAAAAAAACACAATATCATTTAGAGGAAATAATATTTCGTCCTCAATAAAAAGAATTTATCTCGTTACATGTGAAATATTGTTCCAGTGGAACAAAAAAAAGTTCCTTAATATTTTTCTAACACAATGTTTCTTTTTTCAAATAATTTATTGCTTGTAACAATCATTGTAACGTTTAGATAAAAATATAAAATAAATATGTTACTGGACGTAGAAAGATATTTATTGTTTGAGAAACCAAACAATCCTGTTTGTTGAATCAAACACTCGTTTGTTTGCTCCATTCCAAGAGACAAATTTATTTCAATTAGAGAAATTTTATCGGAGAAATCTTTTTCTCTGCGTTTTGTTCGAATTCTCGGAAGAATAAAGCGGATTTCCCGGCGATCTAAATTAGACCCCGTACGATTTTACACGACAAAATTCTACACGAAACTCCCATCGCGATCGGATTGATTTAGAGATTCGATCGTTCATGTTCGACGGTTACCTTCACGCTCCGTTTATTTGTTTCACTTAGTATCGAGCAATAGTAAGTATTCGGCTAAGTACGATGGCTCCCGATTTTGCTGGTCGACTATGGTAGAAATAAATAGAGGATAAATGGAGGCAGCACTACGGGTATGTAATAATGCATAAAAATTTAAGGCCGCACTCCGAGATTCCGCGCAAAGTGGCTTTCACAGCGCGCGAACGGAACTAGTTTTCTACAGCTTGCTCTCGCGAGCACAGTTCAACCTTCTTACTCGGCATCACACTGCTTACGATCTACGTTTCGCTTGTTCTCATTGATGACGTGAAATCGATCAAAGGAGAAGCGAAAGGCTCGTCATAGATGGAGCGTCGCATCCGGAAGCTCTACACAGAGGAAAAGATCTCCTTGGATTCAATAAAATTTCTTTAATTGAAAGAAATTTGGACGATGGAGCAAACAAACGAATGTTTGATTCAATAAACAGGACTATTGTTTGCTTTCTCAAACAATAAATATCTTTACATCGAATAACATATTTTTTGTGTTTTCATGCAAATTTTATAATGTCATAAGCTATAAATAATTTGAAAGAAGTAACATTCTAACATTATGTTAGAAAAATATTTAAAAAAAAACTTTTTGTTTCAGTTAAACAATATTTAATATATATGTATAACGAAATAAATTTGTTTCCATTGAAAGCCAAATATAATTTTCTTCAAATATTGTTTTTTTATATCAAACAACATAGTTTATTCTAGTGAAACGACAATTTCATTATTCAAATATAAAATGATATTTGACATTAGATTATATTGTTTATATTAAACAAACTCAAGTGAAACAAACACTGTCAGATCCAAAGAAATCTTTTTCGCTGTGTGCGGAAAGGTAAACCAGGATACTTCGATACTTCTTATGGATCCTCGATGAGATCCGTACAGCTACGTCGCAATCGCTACGATTCGATCGTGTCGTGATCAAAGACGACAATGAATATTCTACAGATTTAGTCAATATCTTCCGATTGTATCGCATCGTATATCGCGGCCGAGAGAGAAAGAGAGATACGGTGTGTAAAGTGGAAGCTGTAAATGATCGTGACGTAATGACTGTGTACGGACTTTCATGTACGAGTGATAGGCTATATATAGGTATATATATATAGTTGCATTGTGTGTGCATCGAACATCGCTCTACAAGTTGCACTAAACACTACTTACAAATATTTCATCTAAACGATATATATATAGGTACGTCGTCGGACCTTTCGATAAATACGACAAACACTGTTCTGCATATTGTTCATTACTGAAGAGGTATATACCTGAGAGTTTCAACTTTACGATATATATCGTACGGAGACATATAATATATATGTATGTATATATATATTACAACTAACACACCGATCGATCGTAGAAAAAACAGTAAAGATAGACAGAGCAGATCAGTGAATTCGAATGCAATTTGAAGAATGTATAAGTAGATATATATAATAATATAGTATATAATATAATAACGGCCAAAAGTAATGGTAAAAATAAATAAGCATCTCCGGAACACGGCCAACATTGAGTATATAGTCAATACTGGATTTATATAACAAACAGTGATTTAATTGATTGATACCTCGAAATCCTGTTTGCCCAGCCGGGGCAATGTCGATGGACAGGACAAGAACAGAAAACAGAAAAACCAAATTAAAACCTTTGGTAACAGCAGTAATCCACTCAGTTAGATATATATATAGATAGATAGATAGAGCTGTACACGATGATATTACAGCTATTTATGTAATATACCTATCGTCAATGGCCAACCGTTTGAAAACAGCAATGTTTCATTGTTCAAGGACCATCTCAAAAGTTCCCCAAGCTGAGAAAAGTCTATCATCCGATATCCGAGATCGACGAGAGATCCGAATGTCCCGTGGGCATTTCGTCATTCGCGCAAGATTTCCGTCAATGAGAGAGAGAGAGAGAGAGAGAGAGAGAGAGAGATATATAGATGGAGATAGAGAGAGAGAGAGAGAGAGAAAGAGAGAAATAGAGACATTCGCGAGTGTTTATCGTCGCGGTGGAGTCAGCACGGTGAAAACAGCGATTTGTCTATTATGATCGCACGGATCTTTCGCTACGTTATCATCATCATCTTCTCGTTTCTCTCTTCTTTTCACCGTTTTCTTTCTCTTTACTCTTTTTTTCCTCTTTTCTTTTGTTCTTCTCTTATCTCGAGCCACAACGAATAGACTTTCCTCGCGTATATAATCACGACAGATAAAAAAGTTGTTAGACTTATGGAAAAAATATAATGGCATCCAAACATTCAAATACAAATGATAAGATATAGGAGTAGTGTTCAAAAGACAGTCTGTATATATATATATCGCCCTACACCTTATTTCCTATGTATGTATATATAGATATATATATATATAAAAGTATATAATGATAAATGTATAATATATATATAATTATATAATACAGAGATAAAAGAGTCTGCAACTGCACATCGAGCTTCCATGCAAGAAAACATTGATTGTATAACGCTTGAACACAATATTGTCCAATAAAGTATATAACCGAGAGAGGATATATATATATATATATAATCGGAGTCGTATATAAAGTACGTTACAGAACAATTGCGACTAGAGAAAGATTCGATTTAGAAAATCGGCTTGACGACGAATATAGAACGACTATTCTTCCCGCTGAAGGTGTCGTGTGACGCGTTGGTGTACGTGTGGCAGTGTGTGTGTGTGTGTGTATGTGTGTGTGTGTGTACGCACGTGTGTGACGTCGATAACGTTTGCTCCGACCCTTTGATTTTCCATTTCCCTTTTTTCGGTGTGAATTCGTGTCGTTACGCGTGTGAGTCTTCTCGTGTATTTGACAGTGATCCCCTCCCCCCTGTCGTGCACCCCCTTCTGATGATTTGGAATATTCTAATTGGATATTCGCCGGTCAAGCCACCTTGACAAGCTCGACTCGTTTGTGACCTCGTCATGAACGCACAATAACGCGGTGAAATCACGTATAGATACAAATCAATTAAGCAGATCATAGTGGCTAGCAGTGGGAGATAATATTGAGTGGTCCTTGCATCAATGCAATAATGAAAAAGACACTGAGAATATTCAATGATCGAGAGAAAGAGAGAGAGAATATGAGAATGGTAAAAAGACGTATACGGTGATTGTGATTGCGACAACTGTGGATTCCCTATCCTGTCGAGATTCAACTCGCTGCCATTTTTGCGCTCTTGTCTCGCTCTTTGTCCTTTAGTTTTCACGAGCGCCCCCATTCAAGTATATCTATTCGGCATTCGAGCAACATAACACAACGAGCGTTGTCGAGACTACAACGTACAACGCTACCTCGGACCGCGTCATCGCGATCGTTGAGCCGAGACGAAGGCGATAATCTCTACAAACGGACCCACAGCTCGTGGTAAAATGACACATTCTTTGACATATGTTTCTATCACTGAAATAAACACATTGTTATAACGTCGCTGAAGTCAACGATAGACATCGACCGGAAAGGAACACGAGACATTGTATAATCGGAAATGCAGAATGGTCGGAAATGACGAAAGGTGATAATATCGTCAAATTAAAAGTTCCCAATATATGTATATATATATGGTGTCAAATACGGTCCAACATAAGACAAACAATTGAACGAAGGAAAAAAAAAATATATATATATATAAAGAGAAAGATAGATATAAATTTGCGCAATCCTGTGAGAGAGAGAGAGAGAGAGAGAGAGACAAAGGGAGAAAAAAAGAGAAATAGAAGGAGAGCCAGGCTCTCGTTCTTCCTGCATCGTTACAGCGTAAAGTGTGCGCTCGCGAGTGTGAGTCATACCTTGCTATTCGCGAAGAGTAGACCAACGCCCTCCATGCAAACTTGCAGAAGCCCGCCCTCGCCCGTTCGCATGTCCTGCACCGGGAATTCGCCACCGAGCTCGATGCCCACGTTCGCGCCTCGCCCGCGAGCCGCGGCCTTCTCCATGGCATCTTTTATGCAATAGTACAGATCCTTGCACTGGAAACAACGATCGTCACGTTACTACCACACATTCCGCATCTCGCTAGAAAATGTCCACCGCCCATAATACCTTCGGATCTCACTGTTTTAATAATTTAATATTAATGTATCTCTCCTACGTATTCGGTCAATTTTGCTGACACTAATTTTATATACTTTTATTTTCTACTGTAAACAACTCGCAATGATTTTAATATTAACGATTCGTTTCGACTCATATGGAATAAGTTAACAAGTCGATGTCGGTGCATTTTAAGTAACTAGATTAAATTAAAAGTTGACTAATTTTAAAATCGACCGAGTGAAAAATTCTCAACTTGACTTTTAACCGATTAACGAAAAAGTTATCACCAAACCTTAGAAAATAATTGTTATTTAAAATATTCATTCCGTCTTTAGATAATTTCTGTGATCACGACAATGATAACAACACGATGTCAGAGATTTAATCCACATCCCCCTCTCCGTTATTTTTTCCCATCTTCTCCTGAGAGAGAGACACGTACCTTCTTCGTATAATATTTATGCAACTCGGTATCGCCGCCGCTTCTCCTCCACAGGCACAGGACCTTATTCTTCGGGCTGTACGTCATGTTGACCACGCGCTCGTACCACCAGCGTTCGACTATCACGCCGTTCACCGATCTCAGCACGAGGCCGTCGTGGCGTACCTCGAGGAACCGCAGGTCGCCCTCGGCGTCCACCCCGGAGTGCACGGTGAACGACTGCCGGTGCATCTGTCGTGACGTCAGGGGCTTCAGATCGATGTCGTTTCCGTGCTGAAACGTCGTAGGAGAGGCGAAGTTGACGGCGTCCCGCTTCACACAGTCCACGGCTGCCTACGAGCCACTTACGAGATTATTGATCTGGTCGAGCAGTTGGTTCAGTTCGTGGCTGTAGATGAGACCGATGTGGCTCTTGCCCAGCAACCTCCGCACCTTCCGCTTCAGCTCGTTCTTATCGACGTTCAGCATCACCAGAATAGCGGTGAGATTGTGCAGCAGGGTGCACAGAAGTCTGTCCTCGTCATGCTCCAACCGTCGCCTTTCGCTCTCGCTCAAACTCTTGTATCTGTCACGTGTGTGTAAAATTTTATCGACAATGTCGCGTCTCATCATCATCCAATCGTTAAGGCACTTGCTTCGCCGCCAGTCGTCTTTCGTTTGACGACGTCAGCGGCGAGATAACGCGTGCGTCTTGCGAAATGCGTTCGAACGAAGGGATGTATTTTCGTGAAATGACACCCGTGATCGACGGATCACGTTTATAATAAGTTATACCGAAAACTTTCCTTTTGCTCGAACAATCGCTAAATAACTGTAACATCAACGCGTCCGCAATCTCCCTTTTCTAGCCTGTCTCCTCTCAAGAGACCCCTCCTCACCTCTCCATCATTTCCCCGGGACCTTGGTCCATGCCCATCATGTCGCGCTCCTGCGAGACGGCGTCCAGGAAGGCGTCCTCCCAAAACTGCATTTGGTCCCACAGAGGGGATCTCTCCTTCCCCAGCAGACCTGAATTCAGACATCGCGTATATTTATATATTTATATTATATCTATAATATATTATATTATATTAATATATTAGTTATAATATATTATAGATATATTATATTTATTTTATTTCTTTTTATTTGAATATTTCTGTACGAATATCCATTCGCTAGATAAATTCACCCGAGGGTGGAACAACCGGGCCTGAGTTTCCGGTTAAAGAGGACGCGATACCTTCGAAGAGATACGTCCTCGCAGCCTCCGGGCTCGGTTGCGTCGTCGTGGGTATCAAGCTTCCGCCGTGATAGCGGAACCCGGTGCTCAAGGACGACTTGCTGGACCAAACGCTGCCGGAGCGCTGCTTGCCTTGCCGGGGAAACTAGAATCACAAGAGCGCGTAAGAGTGGAGTTAATAGGCGTCCTCGAGCGAGCGAGAGAGCGAGCGAGCGAGCGAGAGAAAGATAACGAGAATATCGAGAAGAAGAATTCTATGAAGATCTCTCAATGAAGCGTTATAGCGACGCATAAGAGCGCATCATATTCTCTATCGGCGTCCGTCGATTCTAGCGGTTACACAAGGCAATTGAACGAACTAACAATTCATTCGCACAGCTAATCGCGCTAACGATGCGTCGTGTCGTGTTCTCGAAGGTCAAAGGGTAACTTGAGATCGGAAGGAAACGAACGAAGGAAGCTGCTCGCTGCCACAGACGACGCGCGTCGCAAGTATCTTTTCTCTTGTATCTCGACTGCGGCGATTCGCGATGACGCACGTCGCTGTTACCCTTCGATCGCGATTCTATCAGCGTCGGCGTGTCCTGCCTGGATGGATGAGAAAGTGTCGGTGAGGTTCGGGTGTTTCGGAATGATGGAAAGCGCTTCTCACATCGAGTCGATACTAAGTTGATACTAAGTCGATTATTACTTGTCCGGCGGCGTGTCGAAGGACGAAGAGGGAGTTTCGTTACTACTCCTAAGGTGCGCATATTCAGGCATTCAAGTATTCGAACTTGGAGAACACGGAGCCACCGAGAGCTCGCTAGCACACGCTCGCGCGTACGTCTCGACGGCCTTCATTTCGCGCCGTGATCGCCCGGATGTTATATCTCGCGGCTAAGCTGTAATTTCGGACTCTAAGCTATTCTCGCCGGTGAACTCGACAGGAATGGACGATGCTACGAGTGTGTTGTTCTACAAGATAACAATTACCCAGACAGCCCGCTGATTTCGCGCAGTGTCCGCTGTACATTTTGTCGGCAGCTTGTTAGCAGAGATACAACGGGATACGCTGACAGAGATAACAGACTGACGGCGGAAACCGAGAGCGGAATTTGCCGTTTAAGCGTATGGATGGACCGTTTAAGGTGGTTAATTCATCAAACTACTTTTTGGAAATTCCTTTAAATTTTAGGCACATATTAGCGGAACTACTATCTACAAGTCTGTAAAGTTAGGAAACGATTGGTCATTCGGAAACTGAGATATTCGCAATTAAAGACGACACTTTCTATACGTATTTCTTGAGGTCTTGTTCCTTTAACGTCCTATTTTTAACTTCTACTTTGAATTTCATTTATACCACATTTGAAATTTTCATGAAAAACTACTGTAATATTAAGGATTGGTATGGAGACGTATAAAAATTTCAGAATTATAGACCGTTTTTGTTTAGAAAATATAGCCCCGTAGAAAATTTATAATTTATTGTATCCCCACGGTCTATGTGTACATATATACGCGTATATAAATAAATATATATATGTACTACTTTTTATTAAATGTGTCTCTATTAGCTCAAATGACATATAAATAAAACATTAATAAGAAAAAAAATATATACGTAATATCTTCGTGTTTTTAGTATTGTGTGCGTATTTGCCTTAATTTCGTTCAAAATTAATATTTATTACTTATGACACTTACTGACAGCTAAATCAAATTATAGGAAAATCCTTTTTTCAATAAATAATAAACTTATGTAGGGATTCCTTAATCACCATTAAAAATCCGGCACTTTATGGACCAACTACCTTAAGTATATCAGGTTGATGCAAAGATTCGTTCCGTTTTTGAGTCAGTTCTCCGCTGAGAAATGCCGGAATTTCTACAAGCGCGAAATCGTCCAACTACCGGAGAGATGGCGGTTCGGCATCGAACAAAACGACTGATTCATATAATAAAATAAATAAACGTTACACATTTTGATCGAAAGAACGGAATCGAATCTTACATCAATCCAATATATATTTAAACACTGAGCACACTGCGTGATATCCTGCTTCGGTTTCTGCCGAGGCAATCCGCTGTCGAATTACATCAGCAGGCTCTGTCGGCAGAACACGAGCTCAATACAGAATGGCAATAATGGGTCTGCCACCGGGGTGTATTCCGATCGAATCTGCTGCCAATCTGCCGGCATACCGCTAACACTTTGCTTACCGGGTATAAAATATTAAGTATATAATAAACTAATTCAGTAGGTAATTTACATTGCCTTGCTCGACCTCGCTATCAGACACGGTGCTTCGGAAGGAAGCTTGGTGCGCTTGCCGAAAAGCAGGGTTAGTGATAATGCTACCTCCGTCTGTGGATAAAGCTTCGCTGCTTCCCGTTCCACCACCCCGCCCACTCTAAAAAACACATGACACGTGTGCGGTTGCACGTTATAATGGAACGCGAGCATTCGGTCGTGGTGTTTCTGTTTTTCATTACTAAACTTTACAAGGGGCCGTTAAAGAAGACAAAGAAGAAGAAGAAGAGAGAGAAGAAAGAAGAGGAGCGCTATATTAAGCCGACATAGTGTACACCAAGAGAGAAAGAGAGAGAGAGAGAGAGAGAGAGAGAACAACGTCTCGTCTATCTCAGGACGGGAGGAGGTATGTACATTTTTACCGTGTTCTTTTACAATTACAGCGATACTGCATATATCGCGACGCCTAAATACCGTGGATACTACTGGCCAACTTGAAACTCAACTTTCGTACTTGGGATACTCCCGAGTGATTCAAACGACGAATGTACGCCGTGCGCAGTGTGAGTGCGGAAATTTTATTCTCAGTTTCTCTACCTCGGAATCGAACGAAGTGAGCTTGCTCAGAAACTTCCCCTTCTTCGTGAACATGTCCAGAAACATGTCCGTCGTCGACTGGCTCGTGTCCCCCGTTGCTGACGGTGCTTGCGCGTGCGGCATGTCCAGATGCACCTGCGGCAGATCTAATGTACGCGAAAACGTTAATTAATTAATGCAAACCCCGTTGTGTCATTAACATGTATTTAAACTGTGCGTATTTATTTCTCTGAAAGCTCCTGCTATCTCGCTGCGGTCGTCTTGTTTAATATAAACATCAGAAACGTAAAATATTCCAAAAGCTTTCTTTTTACTCTAACAATCAAGAAATAACCGTAAAATTAACGTAACATGTTTTACGGTTGTTTGTTGATCGTTAGGACAGATGGAAAGTTTTCGAAATATTTTACAATATTTTACAAGATGCTCAGTCGATCGTAAAAATATCATTTTACGGATATATCCTTTTACTTCAACATAGACAGAAAGAATTTCCGCCATACGTTTTCTCGCCTCTGACGCCTCATTAATCAAGATGGCCGCGATGAGAAAACGGAAGCCTTTAAATTGATAAGTTGCTCGACTCAATCGACGAATATTTTAAGAACAGTTCTTGAAAACACACCCGATTTTTGCGTGCTATCCGCGAAGTCGGGTTGATTCGGCGATTGCGGGGATTTCAAGTTCTCCCTGCTGCCGAACGGGCTGGATGCCTGCGGAAGAAACTCTTCCTTTATTTATGATCGCACAGCATCACTAAATGTTAAATAAACACATAGAAGAGACGGAAGAACTTTGAATTATGTCGCGATGATGTGCAATCGCGAACAATAGGTGTGAAAAACTGTTTGAGACGCTCGTACCTGCGACATCAACGAGCTGTCGAAGCCACCTTCGGATAGATCTTTGCTCCAATAATGCGTGTGAGCAATTTCCATCAGTTGGAAGACAGAAGCCATTCCGCCCAGTCCGAAATTAGTATACGTATGCGCGAGACCATACGTCACTGCTTGAAGGCACTTTAACATTCCCTTGTACACGGGTTTCGGTATAGCCTGCGAGAGAATGAAACAGAGTCACGTGAAACGTGCGTTTATACTAATCGAATATAATTCAGGCTACATTTTAAAACGTTCTTTTCGAGGAAAATTTTACTTAGCGGCTGTCAAAGTTCGATCCATTGAGTAAAATTTTTCTCAAAAAGAAAAAAAAGTTTAGAAATGCAATCCAAATAGATATTATTATTCAATAGATACAAGCACGTGAAAACGACGAGCGAACGAATGAACCGTGAAACGTGACAATGCGGCAGATAACTTAGTCAAGTTAAACCACAATCGAAACTCACCACATCGTCAATGTGATCGTCCGGGCTAATTTTTCTATTGAGACCTTTGTTCAGCTTGGTCACGACCAAATCCCGATAATTCTCGTCCTCCATTAGCTTCTTCACTCTGTTCAGTTTGAGCCAGCCGACGCCTTCCCCTGCCAACACTTGCGTCACCACCTGAAGGATTCATGAGAAGACGAATGTAAGATCAGGTGAGATCGATCTCTTTTTTTACACGACAGTGACCTTTAACGTCGTGAAAGCGCAGCTTCAACGTGTACTCACATCGTTCAAGAAAGCTTGATTGTCGCTGTTCGTGCTAGAACGTTCCGCGTTCTGCATTCTCTGCGCGTCTTCTTGATTAACTCGGTGCGAGGAATGCTTTATCAACGAGGAGCGTTCCACTAACCCGGTTTTTCCTACAAGGAAGTCGAGAAATCACAATGACCTCGAGCCTTTTTTCGCTAGTCTCAACGATATTAAGTCAGTCTCGCACGTACCTTTGGGAAATGGTCCAAGAATTTGAGCCTTCTCCTTCGATTTCTGATTCTGCGGGAAGAAGCTACTGCCCCTGTTAGAAGTGTTTTTACTACCTGCGAAAATTACGTACAATTTTTTAATTATAATTATAATTATAATTTTTAATTATATATTATATATAACATAAAATATATATGTATATGTTTTTATTTTATTATATTTGTAATATTATGTATCGTAATATATTGCGCGTAATAGGATTGATAGAAGGATTAGCCGAACGTACCGAACAAATCGCTGAACATACTGCTAGTCTGCGCGGCGAAGCCGTTTAAATCGCTGCTGATATTGCTGAAGAAATCCCGTCCGACGCCGCTACGCGTGTCCGACGCGACCAGCTGATTACTGACCGAATCTTTCCGCTGCATCATATTGGGAGACGGCGGTGCGTGCACCGGTGATTGCTGCGATTCTCCGATATTCTATACAAAAGCAAATAACTTTTATTTTACGTTGCACTTTAAAGTATTCAGAAGTGTGCATCATTTATTGACAAAATTCCGGATACTTTTCGTTAGAAATACGCGCTGAGCCTACCTTGAGTAAGCCCTTCTTCGCGGCGACTTCTTTGGCACTTTTCGTCAAATCTCCCAGTGTACTCTTGCCGACGTACGTCAAGTCGTCGAGCGTATTTTTGCTGACGCCCGCTGCGGTCTTGCTCGCCTCGATCGCGGTCTTCGACGCCTCTTGCACCGATTTCGTGGCCTCGCCCATGGCTTTCTTAGTTTGCTGCGTTAACTAATTACATTGAAACGTGGAAAATATTAAGTTGAATAAACACTGTGTAAGTTGTTGTGCGTTATACAGATGGTGGACGAAAAGGAGTACCTGCTCCAACGGCGCGAACAGACTGTCCTCGCCAGCCTCTGTAATCTTTTCCTTCGCCTGATGCTTGAGCTAGGAGAAATAATGGATTAGATGAATATGCGTGCCACTTTATATTTACATACAAACTTTTAACGTGAAAACATCCGGCTTGGTAAGAATCATTTTAGTCCAGATCTACAACAGTAAGCTGAGAAAGAGCCTCCTACCTTGTCCATTTGCGCGAGCAGCCCGTCCTGACTGCTCTGCCTGGTGGTCTCGCGCACCAGATCCTTCGCCTGGCTGGCGATCTGCTCGAACAGAGATCCCTGAGAGCCCTGTCTGAGCACCCCGTTTCCGGTACTCGAGCTGCCGCCACTGTTCTGCCGTTGCACTTCGTTGTTCTGTTTCTGCGCGATCTGCCCCGCCGAGCCCTGGCGCTGAAGCGGCGCCCCTTCGAGAAGATGCTCGGTGGGCGTCGCAGAGCTGATCTGCCGCGGCAGCAGAGGACCGCCGGTGGTGCTGAAGCTGGAGCCTCTCGCCAGGACGTTGCCGACGCTCGGCTGACGTTGCAGACCTGGTCCGGTGGGTGGCATCTAGAAATAATACAAGTGATTATTTGCAACTGTTCGCCTCCTCCCCGAGGAATCTTGAACTCGAAGTAAAAAGAGGACGCTTGGATCTTCTCTAATCTCACGCATGACATACAGTTCTTCTATCGAAAGTAATTCATATAATTCTTCGAGATGCCATTATTAATAAATTCCTAATACATAATGTAAACAATGTAGTGTGAAAAGCTATAGGCGAATACAGATTATATACCACAAATTAATATCATAATAAATGTTCAAGGCATGCGAGGATATGGTGGAAAAAATCCTCGGATGCTTTCTCCGCGGAACGTTGTACATTAATCAACGTAACACTGGCGAAATAGCCGTACGATATCTCAAAGTTCAAAGTATAGAGAAAGAGAGTTACTCATGCTACAACGCAAAGATCATGTTCAACGTAGGTTTAAGACAAAGTAGGTAGTATTAAAAAAAAAATCGTACTTCTAGTTACTTCTACAAAGAGAATCGTACTTTTCTGCAATTTATATGTAACTTACAGTCGGAACAACGTACAAGTTCAAAAACATTGTATTCCCGTGTGGAATCGCATTTGCATTGGAAGTAATGTGTTGTATCTCACGAGCATCGATGTGCAATCATCACATATGTCTCGAAGAGTTCAAACAGAAAGAAGAAACGGGGTGCAGTGTAGTAAAAATCTCATTTTTCATCTTTCATGCTGAGAAAGAGAGAGAGAGAGAGAGAGAGAGAGAGAGAGAGAGAGAGANCGGTGCGGCACATAAACTGAGGATCACAAACCGGAGACAATCAAAACTTCACAATAGCCACATTAAATATTGGGACATGAACGAAGTAGGGGACACGTCATGATCGTGTCTCAACGAATGAACGTGCAGCATAAATTCAAACCAATGTGACCTCGATTGTGACGTATAAACGGTATGGAAAAAAAGATATGTAAAACCGAGCCGTAAACGTCACCGTCGAGATAAAATGCAAATCAAGAGCGAGAAGCTGACATTCTCCTGAAACAATATTCTTAACGAGATATACAGGAGGAGGAGAAGAAGGAAGAAGAAGAGATGGCAAAGTCGTACATTCCACATATTCCCACAAAAGTCCCGGGTATACCATGCATCTGCTTTCGAATGACACCGAGGACAAAAACGTGTGTATGTGTGTGTGTGTGTGTGTGTGTACGTGTACGTGTGTGTGTGTGGTCGGCAGTCACGCGGGAGACAATACAGAGTTAAAGGTAATATGGAGATGACTCACAGGAGTGACATATCTACTGACACGCGAGGTCCTGTGAGGAGTCGCAGGACGTTCAACGTCGTTGAGCGAAGGAGCGCCTAAAGATCCCATGCTTATCCCGAACTGTGTTCCTACCGAACTTTGTGCACTCAGGATCGTGCGCGGCGTTATTGTCGACGCGGAGTCTGACTCAAAGCTACCACCCTCCTCTTTATCCTATGATCAAGCAATCCGTTAGCGTACAACGCCGGCGATTCGTTTCGACGTAACGAGCTTCGCGCGTCGTTAACATTGTTATGCAAGTAGACATTCATTCTATGGGCACCGCGTGCGCGCGCTTTATGCATTGTCACCTATCGCCAATATCTAGAAATATTGTGCGGAAAATGAAATTAGTATGAATTCGAGACTCACATTTTCATGTATGAGCGAGAATGTATAATCTTACACGAAGACAAAAAAGTTCCTCTAAAGTAAAATAAAATTTTAACTATTCTATATATATATATATATATATATATTAATTTTACTATATAAATTTCCCACATATAATTCATATAGTTTCCGTAAACAATATATTCATATTGTTCAACAATAATTTTCATGAATTGAGAGGAAAAAGTATCGGACGATATATTTTCAAAATGACAATTGTATCAGTTCGAAAATATCGTTTTTTCTGTGTCTTGCATTTTTCTCCTCTCAAACCGTAAACATTATTTTTTAATGACAAGAATAAGATATTTCTAATCGAAATATATCGAATTTTTTTATAGAAGAAAAAATTTCATCTTCATGCAAGATGATATACTTTTGCTTGTATATGAGAATATGAGCTGATCTCGAATTGATACCAATTTCTTCCACGTAGAGAACTACCGATTATGGCTCTGCGTCCGGATGCGAATTTCTTTTCTCTGATCGTGAAAGAAAAATGGAAGGAAGAGCTGAATGTTACTTTTCGTTTTCGAATATCGGAGAGATGAGATCGGACGCAACGCAAAGGGAAATCTTTCCCAGTAATCCTCGAGGCAAAAGTAGCGTGACGTGTCGTGAAATAAAAAAACTAAGTTGATAAATTTCATCGCCGCAGGGAAAGAACTTAACAAGTTCTCGCTTCGCGGGGAAAACTCGTGACCGAATGAGTATGATCGATATCTGATTCGCTCCAAGCGAATTTAACGACATTCCTAGGAGTCATGATAAGTGATAGTCTTTCTAAGCTCAAAGTTGCTCTACTGGGAAATATCCATAGAATGTGAATGCTTATCAACTTCTTCGTCGTATATAGGGTAAACTACGCGACGTGATCAGCTTAGTTTATTCTGTTGTTAGTGGACCGCTTAAAATTTTTTTTATCTACTATAACATGGTTCAAGATGAGCTTTAAGATCATTTTGACCATATTATATTAGACAAAAAAATTGTCAAGCGGTCCACTAACAGCAAAATAAACTAAGCTGATCACGTAATGTGGTTCACCCTGTATATAAAGTACCTTTCGCACGTGAAAGTATTATTTAGCTTGTACAGAGAGGTGCACAGAGAGAAAAAGACGAGAAAGAGGGTAGACGGTAGAGGGAGACTTGCGCACTTACGTTAGTGGATTGCGAGCCCTCATGAATTTTCGGATTCAATTCGAGCTCGGAGTCCCGGTTAAAGCTCGGACTGCTGAGATCGCTGTGACTAGAAGAGGTGCTCGGTGGACTTTCGGGTCGTACCGGCGAGTCCTCCTCCACTCCCGGATATTGCAAGGAACTCGGAGGGTTATAAACGTTCTTTGGGTCCACCGAGAGCGACATTTGTTGGGGCTGGCTCGCTTGCGGACAATTGTAACCTGCGGAGCACAATCGAATTCAATCGTTACCATTGTTATGCGCATCGCTAGAGCTTCATTGCCTTTTACGGCTCTCGTTTCCTCGCCGCAGACATCCTGATTAATGGCGTCGGACGAGAAAAAAGCGAGATGCCACGAGCCTTAACTTGAATTCACTCATTTTCAAGGACTCTTCATCTCTACGTTCGAACAGAAATACAATTGTTAATGTAATTACGTTAAGTTCTGCGGCAACCGTTGTTTCACCGTAATTTAATTTCAGTTACACTCATTAGGTGATTGGTTTCTATTCCACAATTGTTCGAGCACGTTTTATCATACGTAGCTTCCCGTTCCTTTATATATATGTCAGAAATTATTAACTATAGTCTTAGGGTTTCGGGAAAAAACCTTTCCGTCCCAATTTTCCCGCGGATTCTTTTGGTTTCTTATTTTCTTTACGGAAGAGGGAAAATGTAGCAAGTTTTAACTGAGCACACGTGAATTCTTTTAAACGAATTTTCGTGTGCTCAGTTAAAACGAATTTTCGTACCCTCGAGAAAGAAACAGAGGAAATTCGCGGAAAAGTTGAGAAAAAAAGTAGTTATTTCCCGAAACTTTAAAACTACAGTATTAACTCACAAACAAATAAATAAATAAATAATTCGCTCCTAACGCGTCAGATTGCCTTCATCCGCGAGAATTCGACCTCCACAACGTCGTTTGCAGACGGACTCACCCGGCGACAGATCAGACGACGCCATCTCGGAGACGAAGTCGCTCAGGGAAGAATAAGAGGAGCTGGTGCTCTCGGCGCCCTCGGAATCAGAGCCGCTCTCGTCCGTGGGCTGGCTCTCGAGCTCCCTCATCGCCTTCAAAGCGTTCGCAAGCGAGCTGCCGGAGTCCCAAACCGGGAAGTAGATCGGCTCGAGATTGCTCGCGTACCAGCGCGACTTGTCGCCGATCTGCGCCGGGTCGAACACCCCCGTCTGCACCCGCAGGAAGGCCACGTTGCTAGGCGTGAGCGACCACTCCGCCAGGAACTCGACCGCCTGGGTGCGCGCGAACTTGTTCAGGAAGTTGCTCGCCCGGGGTCGCGAGCGCAGGAACGAGTTGATCTGGAAGGCCACCACCGGCCTCGGGTAGAGCCTCAGAGTCCTCGTGTGCTCGGTGAAGTTGGCCAACAGATTTTGCGAATTGAAGAAGCGCACCATAGCGACTCGCGTGGCGATGTCCACCGAGTCCACGTCGTTGCCGTAGATGAAGGGATTGAAGGGCGCCGTCGGGTTCTGCCCGACCGCGCCCGCCTTCGGCGGGTACGGCCCGACCGACTGCGACGACATCGACGGTCGACGAGTTGGACTCGATGTACTCATGCCCGGCGAATTCAGCGGGCTGTGCTGTATGTGAGCGCACTGGTCGATACTCGGTCTGTGCTTCGTAGAAGCTACGCTGTGGGCCGGACGATTTTATTTTCAAATTATGGCAGATATTACGACTCGAAAGATTTACAAACAATAATAGGAAAATGACAGTAAATTTAAGATTAAGGGAAATTAAAATGAAAATTTATCTTAACTTTATTTAGATTTTAACGTCTCTTAATGGTACCATAACATCGATACTTAGGCTTTTACCACCATTTTCCTGTTATTGATTTTATTTTCATTTCTTTTCTTTCTTTTCAAATTATTCCAGCAATGACATCAGTCAGGACGGCCCTTAATTATCCGACATTTATCGCGGTAGTTTTGTCTATTTCGTTCGCGTTACTTGTGAGTACCGACTTCTGGAAGGAATATCTCCAGCCTATCTTCTCCTAATCGTGAAGCAAGGTGGATCGAGGTCTTGCGCGTCAATTTAAGGACTGTTCTGTCCGGTTTGAATTTAAATACATTTACACTAAGGGGCATTCCACGCGAATTAGACGTTTTCGAAGGAAAACAGCAGTTCTAGTTTCGATCAAGAAGACGTGGGAGTAACACTCGAAGACGTACCTCAAGCTCGAATGATGCAAGACCACGCTTTCCCTTCTACTCGGCGGCTGAAAAGAGAGACGCGGTGTGACGTCTTGCGAAGGTATCGGAGGGCCCGACATACTGGCCATAGCCTAGAAATTCGTCAAGAGTAGTTAACGGAGCTGAACCCGTCGGGATCACTCGGTCGCATCGTACTGATCAATTCACTACTTCCACTAGGTGGATCGATCTACGAATCATCGATCTACGAGTAAAGCGGTCAAAAACGAATATCACGTATGAACGTTGACTAATGTCTACTCGATGTTGACTACTCTCCGGCTTTCAACGGAAAAGGAAAATTCGAAGGATATTTCCTCCCGATTGCTATGATCTCTACTTCGGTGTTCCAGCGAATGCGATACGATTGGTCTACTCGGATCGACTCAGGTTCTACGAATGATAATAACGGGTCATGCATGCCACTAACTACGAAACAAAGATTAAAATGCCACAAGCGGACTGAAATTGGTGAAATATTTACACTAGAGCCAACTTGATCCATCAGTTGCATTGCCTGCGGTGAGGGTAACGAGTCATTAAAAAACACGTCTTCAACACTTTCATCGTCGTAACTGTACGAAATAGTTACGAGAGAGCTTACGAGTTACATCGACGGGCAGTTCGACGGCGACGGTTATTACCTGCTTCAAGTGATTCTTCAGTACGGTGCCCTCCGGTTCCGGCAACGGCGGCAGGCAGTCGTTCAGACCGCTGGGCGCCGTGATTTTATTGCTATCCAGATCTACCAGCCAGATGTCGTCGGGCATTTTGAAATTCTTCTTGTAGAGGAGAAAGGAGGCGGGTATCCCGATCACGAAGGGCGTCGGCGCGAGCAGCAACTGCTCCGCGCAGCTCATGCACGTCGGTAGCAACGGTATCGCCGGGAACATGTACTCCAACGGATAAATCATCGTGACGAACGCCATGACTGACATGGACAGAGCGTTGTAATCTCGGGACTGAAGGACAATCTGAAGAAGGAGGGCGTTAATTCGACACATCCGGACGATGTCCGGAGAGATGTTCGGTTTGGCTTCCGGGGCCTGGTGTTACCTTGTTCTCCAGTAAGATCAGCGTGAGAACTTTCAGACATATGTCAACGCCGAGAAGTTCCAACGGCAGATGCAGGGGGAAATCGACCAGGGAGAACCTGGTGTGGTCCGGCAGAGCGAAGCATAGCGGCGGTTGCATGCTCGGCGAAATGATCTCGACCTCGACGCGCGTCTTCGCCGGGACCGGCACGGGGCTGCTGAGTAGGCGCAGTATCCACGTCTCGATCTCGCGCACGTCGTGAAGCACGATGGAAGGCGTGCCCTCTAGAGCTTGCCCGGTCAACACGCTCCACACCGTGTCCCTGCAACGTAAGTCGTTTGGCTTATAATAAAACTCGGGGATCTTCCAGAATTACCGGAGAACGACGAGATCCGCGCACCTGTTGGTCTGCCGAGAAGCTCCCACTTTCTGCGGCGAGAAGCTCTCGTTGCACGCGTCGATGATCTTCTTTAGAACGAAAAGACACTCCCGGAACATCGTGAAGAACGGATGATGCGAAATGATGCACAACGAGGTCAAGGAGTGATTGCGAACCCTCTGCGCGATAGTGTCGTATTAAGTACAAGTGTTCAGAGAATCAAACTGGATAAGAGATGTATTCGTTTGTTTGTTCATTTATTTGTGCGGGAGAGTCATCCGTTCGGGTATAAACCGAGTACATAATTCGTAATTACGTGTGGGAAAAATCTCAACTGCAAGAAAATAATAAAAACGCATCCCGTTAATCAATAAAGTTAATAATACCGACCTGACGTCTCCGAGACGCTCGCGGCGACGGAGAATGACTGCCGCCGCTCTCGCTGTCCCCGCTCGGCGCGATGATGTCCAACCTCGGGGCGTGAGGGACCTGTGGGGTGTCCGAGTCTCTCCTGCTGCTGGAGCAATCTCTGTCAGAGTCACTAGGACCCACCGCACTGCTCCTATAGTCGCTATAACGAACAGCTAGAGATACAATCTTACACATGAATCGCGCGGGAATCGTCCGAGTCACTTAGGACGGTTTTATCTTCAAACTAACCGGCTAAGCTAATCGATTCAAGATTGCTGCCGGTCGTGTGTTAGGACCTCAGCAGATTGGTTTGTGGATTCGAGACAACGTTTCGTGTGTCTTAAATAACGCACAATTATCTTGTGTCTAGTTTTCGTCCGATTCCTGTCCGGTTACCGAAACTGAGATCTGTACTTTATCTTGCTAACATAGAAATTATGAACTCCTCGCTTATTATTGCACGACAAGTTACAAGGATTGGAAATCGGCGATTCTTATTACCGCTCGTCGATTAGCTTAACTGAAAGTTCGGTGAAAGTCTTGGGACGCTCAATTTAGCGGTGTTCCTCTCCGAGGAGATTCCGATCTTGCAAATAATCTTAAGCCATTTCACCTAGAAAATGCGGAGTCCGTGCTCCTCTCCATGCTCTTCCTCCAGCTCTCCCTTCGGAACGTGGTGTTGTACTTCTCCCTCTTGAGCGACATTCCCGTGCCAGCCGCGACGCCCACCCTTTCCATGGGTCGGTAGAAATTAACACAGATCCCATAGCGCGTTTTTCCTGCGACGTGAACGATAACGGTGACACATCGATTTGGTTAATCGCGCGTATTGCGCATATTCGAGACTAGACACGAACCTGAATCTTTGTCGGTGAGAGTGAAGGTGAAGGATGTCGCCTCTCGTAAGGCCGTGCGTTTCGGTCCTATGCTGCTGCAACCTTCCGGCTGGCAGAAGTACACCATATCCAGCGGCAGAGGAAAATCCTTGTGATCCTCCACCGGATATCTGCGTAACAACTCTGGAACCTAAACGGCAAATTTACATGAGCAACATATTATAATTATTATTAGGGATACAATTATTATATAAGTAATCAAGTGTATTCACAAGAGAGAGAGAGAGAGAGAGAGAAACTTTTACAATCAATTTCTATTTGAGCTGTGGTATAAACAGTATCTTAGTGTGCTTTTTAGGTAAGATATTCAACTTATCACATCATTTATTAAGAAATGAAAGTTTTGTCTACTCGTTTGATCTAAATTAATTGAAAATTGTCTAAATTAAATGAATATTTTGTCTAGAGACTTTTAAAAGTTTCGTTTTGAAATACCTGATTATTTATGTATGGCTGTGCCTGATATATATTTTTCAGCCATTGCTTATATATATATATATATATATATATATATAATTTTCTGAAAACCTTAATTTTAATCTGAAATTTTAAACTTAATTTTAATAAAGTCCAAAATTGTTACTACCTGTACGGGCTGACGAGAGGCAGGGGGCAACCTGGCCCCCACAATGGCGAGGTAATCCACCAGTCGGGGGCACAGATATTTCTTCTGTATATCCATGGTCGTGATTTCTATCTACGCACGAGCTGTGTCACCGTTGTATACGGTATGTACAGTACAGCCAAGCTGCTGAATCTTCTTCAGGATCGTTTCCAGGTTGAATCATGATTGCACCATTCTCCCGCTTATTATTTATTCCACCTGCGGATCGAGTCGCGAGAGTTGCAATCAATCAACGTTGCGAATAGCTCCGACCAATTGAACTGTCGCGCAATCATTCTCGAGGATGCAAACTTGATTCGCGCGCTCGATGGGATATTATTACCGATATCTCTCGTGAGCCTTTCATGTGTAGGAAATTCAACGAGTCAGTGTTGAATTTATTTTCCTATAAAACCAGGAGAGAGAGAGAGAGAGAGAGAGAGAGAGAGAGAGAGAGAGAGAGAGAGNACGAAGAAAGAAAGATTGGTTGAATCAACATAACAAGGATACAATTACCCCCAATAAACTAACAATAATATTATATCAATTATACGTAATAATTTCTCACTCAATAATGTAAGTGTAATATAACATGCATTGTATACAACACTTCTATTGTTGAAATGGGAAATTATAATATTATTGTAATGTTATTGTCCATGTAATACAGTTAGTTTATACATTCATATACTTTCATATACTTTCTTTAAACGTATGTAATATAATTATGAAACATTATATACATTTAAATCACATATATGAAACTACATGTACTACCTGAATGTTAGTTAGTGTTTACTGAGGAGGGGTGACTTTCATCAAATCACTGACGCTAAATTAATCGACGAATAATGACAAGAATCGCCAACATCAATTTCCAGTTTCGTAAACTTGTCGTCCAACAACAACAATCACAAAGTTAATCACTTCTATCTGCGTTGACAAGATAGAGCAGGCAACATTTGCCTGAGTTTTAAATCGTCGATTAAATTAATCAGAGTTGGGTGAGTCATCTTAAGCGCGTTTTGGCTGAAGGAAACAGGATTTCCGGTCCTTATGGGGATCCTGGAATCGTCCTAGTTTACCACAAATTTACTAGTACTCGTTATTGGCTGCACAGAATTAAGAAGCTTTTTGCACAATTACAATAAACACAGTAAAAACGAAAAGAAGTTTTATAATTCGTTAACTTTTTCTTCCTGCTTCGAATAAAATCAACCCTCTTCGCCCACGTTAACGTGTATAATTGCACAAAAAAAATTCTTAATTCTGGGCGACGAGTATAACACCGATCGAAGTTTGCAGAAATTGAAGACAGAATGACTCCAGGATCCCCTTGAGAAACGAAATTCGATCCGTAAGGAGCTGAAATTCCGCCTCCTCCGAGCAAAACGCACCTGATTGCGTCACGTCGTCACGTTGATTCCGGCAATCTTTACCCCGCGGGTAGAAGTCGCGCGAGCAGCGGCGAAGGGCGACGAAGAGATCGTAGGGGCGGCCGAGGGACGAGAATTCGAGAGATCGATGAGTCCGAAAGCCCGAGAGGAATATGTGTGTCACCGTGTCGAGAGAGCAGGCGTGCATGCGCGCGCGCGCGGAGCAGCCCGTGTTTAATTCCGCGGTATCGAACTTCTCTCATATTTCGCGCCGTGGCGCAACGCGACGAGGTATAACGAGAAAGAAAGAAAAAGAGAGAGAGAGAGAGAGAGAGAGAGACGGCGTCATGTACGAAGCCACGTATTTCCGCGTGCGATTACATCGCCGTCGCGTGGAGGCGATTACAGTAGCAGAAGCATGTACGTGGACATTTCACGCCTGACCCGACGCAATTACGGGCGACGAAAAGGCGACATGAATATCGGTGGAAAGGAAGCCTCAGGCATTTCCGTTCTCGCTCAGAAAATTCATCGGAGACGTTCAAATCTCGCTTCGGACGCTTTAGACTCTCGCACTTCTGGGCTGAAAAATGCAACAGACGATTATCAGTCGGATGATTTCTGCGCAACGACACTAGCCGACCTAGTCTCTCAGATATCAAATTTGACAAAATGACACTTAGTCCTCGCTTACAATCTTGCCTTAAGACATAAGCAAGTAAGTAGTAAGCAAATTGGCCCATCACGGTCATTTATTAGGAGAATAATCGACCGTTGTTGATCGACTTGCTTATGACTCAAAGAAAGCAAGATTGTCAACAAGAGCTTAGCCCTGGTCACGCCAGTGTTATTTTGAAGCTAGAAACGAAATTAAAAATCTCACATTTGTTGTACGGAATCAAAAGAATGACACTGAAATACAACAAATGTAAAATTTGATACGACCTTATCTAATTAGAATTAGTGCAAGCTGAAGCGCTTTAGACATCTCGCTTTTACTTCGGCGCGACAAATCTTACCCACGTATAAAATCGCTCGTGTAAGATCAATTAACGGGACATCTTAAACATTCTGCCGGTCAGCTAACTCGAGAGAATTATTTGCCCTCACACCGACGATGATTTGATATGATTTACGAAAGTGCTAAATTTCCCGAGCGCGCGACTGATTATTCCTCGATCGTACGAAGCGGATGATCGAGCTACGTTCTTGAAAAACTTGAGTGGGATCGTCGAGACGGTAAGGAAAATCGGAATTATTCGTACTTAGAGGTTAGTCGCCCCTATGGTTCGCTCGCGTCCAGCTGTGCAATCAAATTACATTTCCACCTGCGGGCGACCCGTCCTCCGTCTCGGGCACTCGTCGCAGCCAACGTCGATTTCATCGCAATAATACCTTCGAAGAGTGCTATCGATCGGGATATCGAGCCTGAACTACGTTGGCCGCTGCCTCGTCGGCCGCCATTCGCGCCAAAAGTGCGCGAGTCAAATCGGCGCAATGAACGAGACAATCGATCTCCTTATCGATCCTATAAACCCGATCTATGAAAAAAAACAGAGTGACGATAACGCCGAATTGATACCGAAATTGGAGAGAAAATGGTCGAAAGGTGAGTTTCTAGTCATGTTTTCGTCACCTCGACTCGTTATTTCGTTTCTTTCTGTTCTACTTGAAAGTGAGTGCCTTCCGTTTAATGAAATAAGCCGACACCAGCATCATTTTAGTTTTCGTTCCATATTCAATGAGTGACAAAGATAAGCTGACATTGTCGACTTGTGTCACCAAACGGAAAGCACTCAATAGGTGTAATAAACCTTTAGCCTTTCGTTCGAAGCAACAAAATATAACGTAATTTCGCAAACAGCGTTTCTTAGCGCTGGAAACTCTTTTCGTTGGAAATTACAACTTAGAGCAGAAGGTTAAAGGCTTACCGAGAAGAGAACGGAAAGTCGCGATGACGTCCAAACGACGAGAGAAAATGACTAGAATAACTCGTTTCTCGAACATAATTCAACCACTTTTTCATCATTTTGACGTTTATCGTGATTCCCCGTTCCACCTGGCTACTGTATACCTATTGTAGACCCGAACTAAAACGCGGAAGCTAACCGGGAGCCAACGTCAGCCTTCTGCGGCAAGCGCCTGAAGGGCCTCGATTATCGCTTCAACCATCTGAAATCGCAGAAACTCGCGACCAATTTCAAGCGACGACGACGCTAATGGAGACGGCTTCCTCGGCCCAGATTCGAGCTCACTTCGGCCGGATGATGGTTCTATCTAGAGAGATGAGAACTCCCGTCTCTTCAACTCGTCGACGATATCACCGGTTTCGGAGCCGCGACGACGGAGTCGACGTATAGGGTACTTCGCGAGAGCGGCGGGGAACGACGAAACGCGAAGCCCAGGCTCGCTCGGTCGCATCGATCCCAAAGTACGAGCGAGCCCTGCCGATAGGTAAGTAAGTTCACCTTTCTCACTGCTGTCCAGTCAACGTCGTCGTCGTGGTCTCGTCTCGGCCGCCTAAAATCGCGCGATTCGCAGGAATTCTCGCGGAATTCGCGACACCCGACAAGCTCTTTCCCTCTCTCTCTCTCTCTTCCGTTGATTCGAGACGACGAGGACATCGTGAGTCTCCAGGACTTTAAATACCCACGTACCCCTGCACCAAAGCGATCCCCGGGTCTCCGAGAGAGTCGCCACGAGTGCGGTGATCCGACGAGGTTTGCTCGCTCCGCGGAGACGACTTACGTGTCGCGGTGTGTGACGCGGAGGGAAACCGCGCGTCCTCGTCCGACCGCCGCCGCCATCCGTCCGACCACGAACGCCAGCGCGGTTATTCCGTATCAGCCAAGTGGCGATATCGCACTGGCCGACGCTTCCCCCGAGCTCTCCGCGCTGGCCCGTCGGCGCGATGCTACGATGCGACGCCGTCGCGTTGGATCGTTCGCCAGAACGGTACCAGGCAGGCGCCGTCGCCTTCAGTACCGGCGCTAGCTACATCCTGATTCCACTTCCGAAAGTGAATTTCCGTCCCCGTTATTGGGGCGCACTATCGTCGCTTCGATGTCCTTCCGTTCATTGTCCGTCCCGGCGCCGCTGAGCGACGAACAGGAAACTCCGACGCCCTCGTTTTCGACTCTTACGTCCTCACCTTTTCTCTCTCTCTCTCTTTTGGTGTTTTGTTTTTCGATCTCTCTCTCTCTCTCTCTCTTTCTCTCACACTCGTGCAATATGGAGCTTACAATGCGAATCGCAGGATGAACGTGGAGCCATTTTCATACCGCAATTTAAATCTCACATGAGACTTCTCTCTCTCTCCCTCTCTCTCTCTCTCTCTCGATTTTCTTTCTGTGCAAGCTGGAAACGCCGGCTTCGGGAAAGCCGATGCTTTTATCTCTTTCTTCCATGCAGAAGATTAACTGTGTATTGATCTCTCTCTCTCTCTCTCTCGCATGTAGGACATAGAGCTTATAGTGTGGATTACAGAATATGAATCGCGTGGATTCTTTTTCACGCATAGTACGTATAGTATAGTACAGTACAATATATACAGTACATATACTATAGCATTCTTTTTGTTTATGCGGAATACGCATACGTAGAAGACCTCGGCAGTGTTTGTTGGCGACGCGGCGTCGAGACTGCTGAAGGCTCGCTTTTGTTACTTTAATTCCGACGTGTGCGCAATAATTCCGCAGAATCCCACTCTTCTCATACGAGCTGTACGCGAGCTTAATAATATTTATTAATGATGTTCACATCGTTATTATAATCATACATCACATATAATCATTATTACAATTATAATAGTATCGTGATTAACGATATCTCATATTGCCTTTGTTGTCCTTCGCGTTCTGAATAATTAACGACCCGACTTGACGAGTTCGCCGGACCGAGCTCAAGGTCTGATTCCCTCTGACGTCCCTCTGACGCCCCTTCGAGATTAATCCAAATGTGAGATGCGTCAGAAGGGAAATTGCGCGTTGCAACGAGCAAAATCTTTTGGTCGGCCAGAGAAACATACAAAGCCTGCGTGTTCTAAAAATATAAATTTCAAGCGGAAATAAGCTCGTCAAGTTCGGCCCTGTGTGTTTCCGAAGCACGGCCCGGTTGGCGTACTCGCGCTCGCTCGGCGTCACCAGCCGGATCAATAACGCTCGTCAGGTTCAGCTGAATGTCTGGGGACATGTGGAGGGAGGTAGCGAGCACGAGGGTAGGTAGGCAGGCAGGCAGGAATGGGGCCAGAACCTTGCGGGCGTCGACTAGGTCGAGATACGAGCACGACCCGGCAGGGCGAAGGACAAGGGTGCCTCCCGACTTCTTTCGGCCCGAAACCCCCCCACGTGGGGAGTCGTAGGACAGAGGTGACCTCGTTCCGAGAGCCATGGTCACGCTAATAACACGCGCGAATTACAGCCCTCTCTCTCTCTCTCTTTTCGCCGCGACAACGGGTGGCGACATTCATCCATCCTGATGTCTCTTGCTCTAATATATTCAGTAAATACGCTACTTCGTGTGCACGTCTACGTAATGACCCCGGGGGTGTGGCGCAATTTGCGATACAATCGAGAAAGGAACTGGTTCATCCGTCCGGGAAGGGAGAAAAAAGTCGAAAAGATACGGAATAAACTGGCTCGCACCGGGAATTAATTTTCCAGAAATAACGGGCCTTGAAATATCTACGCGTTGTAACGAGATGAGACATTAGATAGATGGAATGTCATCGATGACATGAATGAATCAATGAATAAGAGCGAACTCTCTCTCTCTCCTTCTTGGAGCATTATCCAGTTAGGAGAAATTCTTCAAGAGAACACTCGCCGTTACGCTTGTATAAACTTTATTAAACAGTATATATCAATTATAATTATCAAGTTATGTGATCGTTGAAATAGAAATGTCTTAGTACCTGTATTTACAGCGCGGTATCAGATTACTTGACGCTGCGTATGAACACTACAGATCAGATCGCAAGTCGTTATTTAATCTAAAAGATAACAGTCAAACGTGCGCACGCACGCAGAAGTAAGTAGTAAAAGTGTCCAAACATTCGCCCGTAACGTTTCACTTTCGTGCGTGCGATAATAAACTCGTGTGGCGGTCGCTTCGCGTGAAAATATACATCGAAATGTGAACGAAGAGAATCATTATTGTAGATCAAAGTATTATTCGTAATACTGCAGTGTTCGCGTTCAATTCGCTAAGTTAAGCGGGGTCTACAATGAGAATTTAAGGCGTAAGATTTAAGAAATTGACCAGTCATAATTGGTTTCTCTTTTATAATTCGACCGTAATTGGTCAATTTCTTAAGGCTTAGAGCTTCAAGCATCTATTGCAGACCGGGACTTATGCATATATTTAACGGTCTTCTGTAAGCTCTTGACAAAAAGTCGCCATTCTCTTCTCGTTATATAGATTTAATACATATCGCGTTATATCATATAAAATATATTCGACTTTCTCCTTTCTGACGACTATATATTCTGCTTCACGCGTCTCTTTTTTTTTTTAGCCTCTCGCGTCTAAGCAGTAAAATGTGACGTAACTTCTGACGACGGGCGTTTCCCGCGCTGTCAAAAGTGGCGGGATAGCGCTTGAATTTTGACAATCGCGATGTACGGGTAGCACTGGAAACGCTTCCCGCTAGAAATTACGTTACAATGTAACACTCAGAAACTAAAGGCTTGCTACATTTATTGTAGATCTAGCCTAATATTTTTTTGTTCTCTTTTACTAAGGACGATCTCATTAAGGCGACAAACCGGTAGGTCAACTACACTCGCTGTTTCCGAATGGTTCTACGCACGTTCTACGCGAGACAAGTGTCATCGTTTCGTCGTGTTTTTTTGCTTCCTCCGTATCTTGCTTTTTTTTTCCCTGACGAGACGAGACTCAGGCGCGATCGTTCGTCGAACTCCTCGCCTTCCTACGCTCGCAATAAATACGGTCTCGGGTCGCAGACGCGCGAGTGCACGCGTTACGAAATATATATATATGTATGTATACATATATATATATTTTTTTTATCGCATTTATACAATTAATCTGTTTAAGTAACACCCATCTAACAGGCGCAGACGAGCGTCCGTCGAGCGCGACGGACCTTCTCACCCGGTGATAAATACAGCTCGCTACTCATCGTTACAAATATCATCGTCGCCGCCGTCGTCGACGACAGTCGCTGACATTAACACGATTGCACCGCAGAACGCTCTTCCTCGCGCACCCTTTGTACTGTCTCTGTCGAAAAAAGAAAAAGCACCGCTCAAATCGCTCGCCACACGCTAGCGACTCCGCGTGTGACGAGGAACGGTGTGTACAAAATATCGCGATACAATGTCGCGATACAAAAAGAACGCGAGAGGGAATGTCTCTTTGCACGAGCGAGACGCGTCTTACACACGTACACGCCTCTGTGTGTGTGTGTGTGTGTGTGTATGTATTCGTACGTGTGTACACAGGAAAAAAAGATTGGTTGAATTAAACGATGACAATGAACGAGACAAACGTGTTTTCAACGAAGGGAACGGAATTCCTGGTTCTTGCGAACCGAATTTGCTTTATTTCGATTCATCTCGATTGAAAGAAACTAAATTTCTGGTTCTTCTCAACCAAATTTGATTTATTCTAGTTGAAGGAAACCAAATTCTTTTACTATTATGAACCGAAAATCGGTTTGCTTTAACTAAATCGCGTTAGCGTTCGTTGCCACGTCAATTCAACCGATCTTCCTTCTTCGTGTACATATGCGTGTAAATATGCAGAATACACCATGCTCTTTTGCGACAGACAAGTCATCATTCTCCGTGCATCGCTACGTACTATCGCGGATGCCGTGAATTCGCGACCGTCATCATCGTCTCGCCGTGCGAGCTCGCGATTCCCCGTCGGATTCCGCGCGTACGATTAATCTATGTTATTGCGTATTCGAAAGGCGCCTCTCTCTCTCTCTCTCTCCTCTTTCTCTCTCTATCGCTTTCGGCAGGTCGGCTAATAACATTTAGCATATGCCGCTAATATCAGAGGTCGAGGGCAGTGTCGGATCCGTGATGGTGATACTCGTCGTCTAACAGCGGTTCTGCCTCCAGCATCATGTGAACTGCGAACAAAACTCGTCATGCATACCAACGAATATGTAAACATTAACACATGTAACGCAATGCTCCCTATCGACCACCCCCTCTAACACCCACTGACAGACAGCGCGTTTCTCGTTGTTTATCGACTACAATTAGGCTACCCCGGGCCGCGGAGATTGGCATGTAACAGGAAATCCGGGGCAGCACGTCGTCCCCTCAACACAGCACCGAGGACCGAAGCACAATGTCACAGTGTGTATCACCAGTAATGCAGTAACTGTTCTGTACGTTTGTTCTTACTTCTGTCTTTCGCACACACACACACACATATACACTCCCTCTCTCTCTTTCTCTCTCTCACTTTGTTCAGAAACATAAAAACAAAGTTCAAGCGGCAGGCAGAAAACCATGCAAAATCATTTTGATACTCAACACGCTAAATATACGTAAGAAATCCCAAATGAGAACTCCACGTGCACAATCGCCGTACGTAAGAAGGAAGCGAATTAACATCGGGTTACATAACAATACGAGAACGACAACATCCTCAAGCGGTTAAGAGACTCGTTCCCTTGTCGGAGCAAAAAAAAAGTGACTTCGTCGATCGCACGATGATACCGTAATTATGTCGCATTACCGCGCGAATCTGCAAATCACGATCGCGGTGTTTGTTTTCTCGAATCGCGCGCTCCTCGAGCGTTGTTGGCCGAGCAAGCAGCTGTTGGACGCGACGGCAAATTGTAACGTTAACTTCATCTTACAGACGAGAGATTGAAGTTTCAGATGAGCAGCACAATAACACGATCACAAGCCCAACTAGCGCATGCAAATGAGAACCATACGAGGACGTGCGAGAGGCAAACAACAGTTCGATACTCGCAATGCGTATAAAACACATACATTTGCATTAATGTGTACATGAACAATATCACACATACACGGATGTATACATACATACATTGACCTAACTACTGACCGACCTGAATTAATTCTAATGTAGACACTTTCGCAACGAAGAATTCGCGTTACATTCTGAATGAATTTACTTGCGCGAACGTAAAACAAGCTGGTTCGGGTGAAGCGATAAACACAAAGACATGCGTATTAATGCTCCGCTCGGTTCTTCGAACGACGTTTCTGTGAGCTTTTTTTTTTCATTGGCTCTCATTTGAAAGTACATCCGCATTCGTTCGCTGCGGCGTCTTCTAACGCGCGCGCACACAAACGCACCGCAACTTCGGAAGGAGTGGAGCGCTCGTTATTAGCATTGGCGTGTCTCTCGGCGGAAAAAAAATGTATCTCTCACAAGCACAATACGCGATCGATCTGAACGTCACGAGACAGCACGTGTTCTGGATTGACGGCAGACCCGTCGTGCGATTCGACGAACGAATTTGTTCTCCCGAGAGAGGCTCTCGGCGAGATCTGGTTAGATCAGAATGAAAGATAGCGTGTCGTGGTAAACTCATTTATCCAAGAAGTATGGTACAATTCGCAGAAACAAAACTCGAGATACGGTACAGTTCATAAAATTACATTTCATCTTCACTGTGACGTTTACACATGTACACATGTACCTTCCTCGGCGGGAGCATATAGTTAGTTTTGTGAATTAATTATTTATCTGCTATGTCATCCGTGTATAACGATAACATCCGACAAGTTGCTTGCGTAATGCTTTTCGAGCGGAAAACAATTTCACAATCGTGTTCCTTGGCACATGACACGTGGAGATGGAAAAATATAAAATATAGTATTTTCTAATATACTATATATTTTTTTTCTTCGAAAGAAAAGCTAATGTAAGGTGTATTTATTTTTATATATATATATATATATATTATGGGAATGTACCCCTTATATATGTATATATTATTCTCCTAGAGAACAACATTCCTCTTGAAGTACAATAGAAAAATTGTGAATATATCAACCACACTCCGAAACACATCCAGTTCTGGCATGTTTATCTAATAAATTTTCGATTATAAAAATTTAATTACTCGTTACTTAGCGTGAGGGAATATTATAGTAAAATCACATGTAACATACAAATGATAGTTAAGCATGTATCTGCCATTTGTTTGTAATGTTTCGTGTAAACTATATATATATATATGTATATATATATGTATATGTGTGTGTGTGTGTGTGTGTATATGTAGAAAGTATATTTAAAACAATTTCTCGCGTTCTTAAATGTGTGACACTTACGTAAAGAAATTTCGTGATGAAACGTTCATCTTAACCGTATTTTCCTGTATTTACTCTCTTTCTCTCTCTCTCTCTCTCTCTCTCTCTCTCTCTCTNAATCGATACATTAGAAATATCGTTGCTACAACTACCACTATATTATATGTACAATCAACAAGTGTTGCAAGTATTAGAGAAGAACAAAGTGATATAGATCAAGCGACGTTAAAATCTAATTGTACGGGAAGAAATTAAATTTTGAATCAACGTACGTGTTCATATTGATACAATCAATTAGTTGAACTAGTTAGAATTAATGTAACAAATAAATGTTATTGAGAAACAAGAGAAGGAGAGAGAAAAAGAGAAAGAGATAAACAGAGAATATATATATATATATATGTATGTGTCGTTCAAGTTGATAAAAGATATTTCAATATTTGTCTCGAAGATATATACTGATTTGAATTTATCTCAGCACATAGTCGCACGCATAAGTCATATATATATATATATATACTGGACAATATAAAAGCGTTGTAATCCTTTACCAAAAAATATATATACAAATTTTTAATCGTCACAAGAATCAAAGAAAAATACGGTACGATAATATAGTCGTGCCTTACAATCGATACATTAGAAATATCGTTGCTACAACTACCACTATATTATATGTACAATCAACAAGTGTTGCAAGTATTAGAGAAGAACAAAGTGATATAGATCAAGCGACGTTAAAATCTAATTGTACGGGAAGAAATTAAATTTTGAATCAACGTACGTGTTCATATTGATACAATCAATTAGTTGAACTAGTTAGAATTAATGTAACAAATAAATGTTATTGAGAAACAAGAGAAGGAGAGAGAAAAAGAGAAAGAGATAAACAGAGAATATATATATATATATATGTATGTGTCGTTCAAGTTGATAAAAGATATTTCAATATTTGTCTCGAAGATATATACTGATTTGAATTTATCTCAGCACATAGTCGCACGCATAAGTCATATATATATATATATATACTGGACAATATAAAAGCGTTGTAATCCTTTACCAAAAAATATATATACAAATTTTTAATCGTCACAAGAATCAAAGAAAAATACGGTACGATAATATAGTCGTGCCTTACAATCGATACATTAGAAATATCGTTGCTACAACTACCACTATATTATATGTACAATCAACAAGTGTTGCAAGTATTAGAGAAGAACAAAGTGATATAGATCAAGCGACGTTAAAATCTAATTGTACGGGAAGAAATTAAATTTTGAATCAACGTACGTGTTCATATTGATACAATCAATTAGTTGAACTAGTTAGAATTAATGTAACAAATAAATGTTATTGAGAAACAAGAGAAGGAGAGAGAAAAAGAGAAAGAGATAAACAGAGAATATATATATATATATATGTATGTGTCGTTCAAGTTGATAAAAGATATTTCAATATTTGTCTCGAAGATATATACTGATTTGAATTTATCTCAGCACATAGTCGCACGCATAAGTCATATATATATATATATATACTGGACAATATAAAAGCGTTGTAATCCTTTACCAAAAAATATATATACAAATTTTTAATCGTCACAAGAATCAAAGAAAAATACGGTACGATAATATAGTCGTGCCTTACAATCGATACATTAGAAATATCGTTGCTACAACTACCACTATATTATATGTACAATCAACAAGTGTTGCAAGTATTAGAGAAGAACAAAGTGATATAGATCAAGCGACGTTAAAATCTAATTGTACGGGAAGAAATTAAATTTTGAATCAACGTACGTGTTCATATTGATACAATCAATTAGTTGAACTAGTTAGAATTAATGTAACAAATAAATGTTATTGAGAAACAAGAGAAGGAGAGAGAAAAAGAGAAAGAGATAAACAGAGAATATATATATATATATATGTATGTGTCGTTCAAGTTGATAAAAGATATTTCAATATTTGTCTCGAAGATATATACTGATTTGAATTTATCTCAGCACATAGTCGCACGCATAAGTCATATATATATATATATATACTGGACAATATAAAAGCGTTGTAATCCTTTACCAAAAAATATATATACAAATTTTTAATCGTCACAAGAATCAAAGAAAAATACGGTACGATAATATAGTCGTGCCTTACAATCGATACATTAGAAATATCGTTGCTACAACTACCACTATATTATATGTACAATCAACAAGTGTTGCAAGTATTAGAGAAGAACAAAGTGATATAGATCAAGCGACGTTAAAATCTAATTGTACGGGAAGAAATTAAATTTTGAATCAACGTACGTGTTCATATTGATACAATCAATTAGTTGAACTAGTTAGAATTAATGTAACAAATAAATGTTATTGAGAAACAAGAGAAGGAGAGAGAAAAAGAGAAAGAGATAAACAGAGAATATATATATATATATATGTATGTGTCGTTCAAGTTGATAAAAGATATTTCAATATTTGTCTCGAAGATATATACTGATTTGAATTTATCTCAGCACATAGTCGCACGCATAAGTCATATATATATATATATATACTGGACAATATAAAAGCGTTGTAATCCTTTACCAAAAAATATATATACAAATTTTTAATCGTCACAAGAATCAAAGAAAAATACGGTACGATAATATAGTCGTGCCTTACAATCGATACATTAGAAATATCGTTGCTACAACTACCACTATATTATATGTACAATCAACAAGTGTTGCAAGTATTAGAGAAGAACAAAGTGATATAGATCAAGCGACGTTAAAATCTAATTGTACGGGAAGAAATTAAATTTTGAATCAACGTACGTGTTCATATTGATACAATCAATTAGTTGAACTAGTTAGAATTAATGTAACAAATAAATGTTATTGAGAAACAAGAGAAGGAGAGAGAAAAAGAGAAAGAGATAAACAGAGAATATATATATATATATATGTATGTGTCGTTCAAGTTGATAAAAGATATTTCAATATTTGTCTCGAAGATATATACTGATTTGAATTTATCTCAGCACATAGTCGCACGCATAAGTCATATATATATATATATATACTGGACAATATAAAAGCGTTGTAATCCTTTACCAAAAAATATATATACAAATTTTTAATCGTCACAAGAATCAAAGAAAAATACGGTACGATAATATAGTCGTGCCTTACAATCGATACATTAGAAATATCGTTGCTACAACTACCACTATATTATATGTACAATCAACAAGTGTTGCAAGTATTAGAGAAGAACAAAGTGATATAGATCAAGCGACGTTAAAATCTAATTGTACGGGAAGAAATTAAATTTTGAATCAACGTACGTGTTCATATTGATACAATCAATTAGTTGAACTAGTTAGAATTAATGTAACAAATAAATGTTATTGAGAAACAAGAGAAGGAGAGAGAAAAAGAGAAAGAGATAAACAGAGAATATGTGCATGCAATATTTATATATTATTTATAAAATAAAAGTCTAGTCGCAATATCAAAACACTATGCGATTGATACAGAAATCATCGTTATGGCGGCAAGCGGTACATAGCTTCTGACTGATAGTTCGCTTCTACACTTGGTTACAGATCTGTAACACACGTGCAAGAGAAACCGGCCCGAAAGTAAAGGCTGGAGAAACCACGAAATCAGAGGAATATTTTACAATTGTAAGATAAAGGAGAAAGCGCAGGATACAGGGATATACACGGATCTTCGTGAAGAAGAATGTGGTGTAACATATATATATATATGTATACACGAAGATATATATATATATATATATATATCGACGTAAGAGTGAAAATCGTAATGTGATGAATAAATATAAACGACGCTGTCGGACTTAGGCCCATCACGTTTTCCTTGATTTATTCAACACGATATGGAATTCTGCTCTTCTTTAAAAGTCAATTTCAAATCGCACAATTCATCAGACATTAAAAGCAAGGCAAATCAACGTTAATCATTCGCGAATTTACCGCGCAATAACGACAACAGGTTACATTTTCTTCGAAATATCGCACAAAATCTGTTGTGCTCGTCTAAGTGCGGCTGTTACGCTTCCACAGGTGTGTGGGCCTAACTCACGAGCTGAACGAAAAGTGCACTACACAATGGTCCCACTACTTTTCGGCTGACTTACTGCGACGGTGGAGCCATTTTTTCCGACACCACCGGCGAGAATGACGGATATGCTGCTCTGTGCAAGTAAAATAGCGATGCCCACAGCAGCCCATAACGGAAACACCTTCACCTCTGTGCCAGTGTATGGCAACTGTATAAGCGACACGAAAGATCTCTTGATTAGTCGTCAGAGTCTACTATCTCACATCGAGAAGGGACTTTTCTTTTAGTTTTTCTCTCTAATATACTCCATATCTCTGAGTGTGTTAGTCTGTTAATAATTATCGATCGGGTGTCGGCCACTTTTGAAACAATTTCCTGCCTCGTTAGTCACAATTTACAGCATTATTATCGTCAAGTTACCGGACCATTTCCGATTATACGTTACACAACTCGGACACATTATATATATATGTTATCGTTCGTACATGGCTTTTTTTTTTATGATCGTAGCAGAGATGCAGAGATTGTACTTGTTTTTTGTAACAGTGTAGTAACACCACCGGTTCCCATCTCATCCGTCACCCCGACACAGGTAATCATGTGTAGTCCGTGAGTCTGTGTAGGAGTTTACATATGAAGAGAACACTGCGACACTCCCGACACTTTCTCTGTTATGTTAATATGTTAACGTAAGGAAACGTGTCTTACGATCTTCACACACCACCTGAAGGAAAGAAAATCAATTCTCTCTCGTGGAGCGTAAGGATGGGATAACTATGCAGAAAATGATGCTCTGCTTCTTTTCGGCTGAGCTGGCCGAGCCAGTTCGAAAAATGTACGCACACCGAAGCGTAAGAGACTCGTACTTCAACGTGTACGTAAATTTCTCGAATCAGCGCAGCCGGTTTGACTAAAAACAGCAGGCCGTAGGAATGTCTGGATCGTAATACAAAATCGCTATTACGAGAATATCAAGTGTGAAGTACGATATCGGAAAAGTGTGCCAGGAACAATACACGATAACGTGGAACTGAACGAACGAACCAATACGGGAGGAAAAAAGAATTAGAGGAAATTGATACTCTACCACTGGTGCGACATTCGATCATACATGAAAGTGTTGTTATCCTCAATTCCTTTTACATATATATAACGTACACACACCACGTTCCTTTGCAGGCATCGCTACTTCAAGAAAGAAAAAAAGGTAAAGAAATAAACTATACACATCAAGTTCAAATTCACATAAATTATAACCATGTGAGTATCTGTCATTTAATTACAAATATCTTCGTCTGTTCGCGAGAGATAGCGATTTATAAAAATATTGTACGGTGTGTAAAATGCCACACAAGAGATTAGCTCCAACCTGGCATTCTTCTAATCAATCGATTGGTTAATCAATTCTGTTCGGTTCACTCTGTTATATTCGTGTAGTTATAGTCGTGACAGTGTCGTAGTCAGCACTGCTGCCAAGCAAGTAAGTCTCCTGAGCAATATAGCGATTCAAATAGAAACAACTGTTATATTAAGCCTCGATATATTGAATTCAGAAGCGATAAGATTGTACGTTTAAATTGTGCGAGATACTGAAACGCGTATCGCTCTAACAATGGTTTAATGTACTACTTGGCCATACATATAGACGTTTAGTAATTCAACCGAACTCCCCAGCAGAGAAAAGAGATCGTAGACAGGAGAAAGACAGACAAAGAGAGAGAGAGAGAAAGAGAGGGCAAGCAAATAAAGAAAAAAATATATAAAAAAGAGAGAGAGATATATATATATATATACGTAGGAAATAGAGACATCTCTACTGTACAAAATCGACGGAAAGATACGGAGGAGCGCTCGCTAAACGAGCGTCACTGCTTGGGACTTACTGCAATTGTGGAACCGTTTTTTCCAATCCCACCGGATTCAAAGACTTTACAGAATTCAAGAAACACGTGAACGTAGCCTGCGTAAAAGATCACCGCTACGTAGTTACTGAGCGTGCCTACACCGAGCACAGGGATCTAAACAAAGCCACAAGATCTTCGTTCGTCATGAAATTCCAATTGCTTTTTCATTCAGGTTGTTTATGTGTATGTATGTATGTGTGTATATATATATGTGTGTGTGTGTGTGGTGTGTATGCGTGTGTGTGTGCTATGTAAAATTCCCTTTACAATTACACCTCTCGATATCACTGATTGAGGACGCAATAGCACTGCTCCGGTTCGGGCTCAGTTCTATCTGTGGTCGTATCATAGCACATATACACGGAACATGCTACTTTCTCTCATTATCATGAAAGCACAAAATTGCGGGGCACACGAGGGAGCAGCTGATCAGAATACGATAAGCCGTCGGACGTCGGTGAGGCTGTGTCGGTGTCGCATGTCACAATGTTTACGGTTTACAAGGAAAATTTCTCCCCCTCTCTACGTTAACGTTACGGAAAGACGCGCCACTTTCGGAGGTGTGTACGCTAAATCGTAACGGCGGCAGCTTTCCTCAGAAGCGTAATGTGTGAAGCAAAATGTATGTAATATGCGTATGAATGTCCTGCTGAGATTATCACAAGTCATTGACAATAGTTTTAATAGAACCGGAAGACTTGGCAATATTTGTCTGCGGAGAAGATCGGCCGATCTTCAAGATAATCATCACCTTCTAGAATAACTTTTTATAATCAAGCGAGTGTACCGGAAGTATCATCCATAACGGACGTGTACTTCGTGTGAACAACAAATCGTACAATGCGCAAACAAATATTGCAAGCTACGCACACGATTCTCTCCCCAGAGTCACTCGAGCGGCGGCCGCTGCATCGTACATAATTTACAAAAGAAATTTCGATCCAGTTAGATTCCCGGGATGCGATTGCTGAATTGAAATTGTTTCAAAAGAGTTGTCACATTGGCAGAGAAATTTTGTTTGCCGTTGAGTAAACGTCGAGAGACAAACCATAGGAAGGATTCAGACTTCTGTATCTTACATTGAAAAGGGGAGTGTCTATATTACAGGGGAGAGATTATCAGTTTTTATAATACACACACACACACACACACTCACACCGAAGCACTAACGACTCACTGAGAAACGTCGGAGATACGCGTGAAATGATTACAATTGTCAATTGTACAGTGATACATCAGACAATGGATTTTATACACCCGTATAAAATTCACTGCGAAAATCGTTGCTTGGGGGCGGGGGGGTCTACGAAAATATTTTCGAAACCAAGGAGATGTAGGGGGGGGGGGCGTAATTCAGTAAGAAACAGGGGAGGTGGAAGATGCGTGTTAAATGAGTAAATATTTTGCAGTAAAGAAGTAATCTCAGCGCCGCTCCTCATGCCATGCTGCTCCCATTTCTGCATGTTCAATAAAAAGATTCTAATTAACGGACTTACAGCCACAGTGGAACCGTTCTTGCCTACTCCTCCGGTGAAAATCACCGAAAATATGGGATACAAATTTGCCACTGCACACACGATTGTTAAAACTCCTAGTAAATACTTAACTAGAAAACCATCTAAGTATGGTATCTGCAAGAAATATTCTCATTAAACTCACAAATATAGCCGGCATCGTTCTCGTTAACTTGACTACTACGTTTCGTACGAGGAGAAGAAAAACGTTTCTTTTCTTCTTTTTTTTTTCTTTCGGAGTCTCTCGGAGAGAAGGAATAATTTCTCAAGCAGCGTAGATTGCAATTACGCGTAGTAGCAATTACGTAGAATGAAATCATCGCTGTAAATATCGTCGGAGATGCAGTTTACGCGAGAAAAATTTGGAAACTCGGAAGCCTCGTACGGGCTATGTTATTACGTGTAATTTCTCGCCATTAGACTCCACGCGTGGCCAATTGGAGGAAAAACGAACGAAGTCTGGAGCCAAATTTTTTGGGGGGGATGTGGCCTGACACGTCGAGACGATGATAGAAGATACGTACGCTAGAAATGTGTGTCCGAGTCTCCCGCAATTCGGAATTACGGCACTGTAGAGTTATGGAGTTATGTAATGGTATATGTGATAGTTTGTGCAAATACCCAGCAATCTCAGCGATATCGGGATCTCGGAGGTGCACGAAGTGTACCTGATAGAAGGCTCTCGACAAAGTATTATCTTTTCCTCTTCGGCCACTTCGGGCACCTCCTTTGAAATGTTCGAATTCAACAGTACGGTTACTTACCAAGGGAAATGTGAAACACACGCGACAAGCGAAAGTTTCACTCAGCGACACTCTTAATTGGTAAACGCGTAATTGTGACTGATCATCATTTGTGATATACATATATGGTACAAATATTAATGAATACAACTTGTATATAGAACTATCAAGATAAAAATTATACAGATAAAACAGTACATGGTGAGGGAAATACGTGTAAATCAATCTTCAATCTTTCTTACGGCACATGCGCATGACTCGACATAGTGTTTCCGAGTTGAGATATTCTTTCACTTGTATCATGAGCCATACATATCCCTGAATACAGATCTCGCTTTCGAGGTCTCTGTCTTTAACAAAAATGAACCACGTAACAACTTTCGATATTTCGCGGGAAAACGGAACGGTTCTATACGCATCTACGACACAATCGTGAACCTAGTCGAACGAATACCTTGCGATAGCAATAATTTACATGAGTGAAAAATAACCACGAGACATAATAATATATTGCGAATATGGTCGCGCTCTGAAATAGGCGAATGGAGAGATTTTCGTCATTTCGTGTTCGTCGAACTATATATATATATAGCCGTGCAGAACACCGATAAGAATGCTAATAGATTACACAACATATTCTACCGATTACTACACAAGATATTCTTGGCATGGTATATATAAATATGTATGCATAATAATAGAAAACGTATGATCAAAAGTGATACAACCTCCATCATCCAGATCTCTGGGCCAAAAATCGCGGAAATCAGGTGAATAACTATGATCGTAAACTGTGCTTCCGTTACGTCCACTTTACCGAATCTCAAGGAACCTATTGAGGGAAGAAAACGTGAGTGATTTTAAATGAGGCACTGAAGTCAACTACTCTACGGCAGCGTTCGTTATGCGGAAATCTTAATGAGCTGAATTGATTTATGTTCTACTATTTGCGTCTGACTTTACTGACCTGAAACGTAGGTCTGCCAGTGAGCACAGTAGAAAAGCGTCATTGCACAAAAACATTGGAAAAACATCCACGTTGGGTAATATCCCAATTGTACTGCTATGCATGCTGATAAAGCAACAAATACTGAAAGAAACACAATAGATATTACTCGTCCAATCAGGTCCAGCCACATTTATCGAAATTGAAGTTGAAATTGAAAAGAGAAAGTCACGATCGCGCTTACCTGTCGATATTGAGTCGCATCCATGATCAAATAGTTCGCCCAACGGTGTAGACGTGCCAGTTCTTCTGGCTTGTTTACCGTCGATGGCATCTAAGCTCTGGTATATAAATAGACCAAGTGCACATAAAAAACATGCCCATCTAGGTGCCTAAAAGAAACAAGATACAGTGTCAATGATAATTTATTATCTTTGCAATTAGGGAATTTCTGCACAAAAATCCTAAATCGCTGTACACGTAATATGTGTGTCAATAAGTTTCTCACGGAAAAATACTTGATTTCTGGAAATTTGTCACTTTATCTTTGGAATTATTCGAGTGGTCAAACTTGAGACAGACACAAACGTGCTCATTCCGCGATGCAATATGACAAAGTTACATAAGAGGAAAAACCAGTTTCTGTTATCACATTAATTAGTGTATCATTAAGCATGCTTAGCATATCCATATTTGCATCATATATCTTCTTGAAACATAGCCTCGACGGAGCTATGAGACAGCTCTTTGATAATTAAATAATTGCAATAATTGCAAGTTCACAATTGCAAAAACAATGACAGTTAAACAGAATTCACGTGAATATTACAAATGCTCAGACAACTTCTTGTTGTCCAGGGCACCGATCTGAGAAATTACGAGAGAACCCTGACAGCACAGAACACAATCGATCCCACTGAACTAGCTGATCCTTCGATATCAGCGTAAAACCTTGGTAATGCTCGAATTCTCGTCAGACTTGACAATGTTATCGCAACAGCCGTTGGAAAACACGTCAGATACTAACACGGAAATATCGACATATCAAGGTACTTTTCGGCGGATAAATGTCACTTGGTGTAACCAGATGTAAGAATCAAAGTGTCAGACGCGAACATACCCCATGGAGCAGCGCACATGAATTACAAAATTACAGCGCCCGACGTCTATAGATAGTCACGTCACAGCACGATGTGATGCACTGTGACTTGGGACCAGAGTGGGCTACGTGGTGAAGAAAACAGGTTAGGTTGAGCCTCTCTCAGCCTACGTACCTCGGCTCTCGCGTCCGGACTGTAATAGACGAGGATCAGGGTGGTGACGATGTTGACGATGAGGCCGAGCACGGTGATGAGGTTTGGCGCGAGCCAGAGTGGCACCTTGCTGACCAGCCAGTCCCACCACGGTTGCAGCAGGCCGTCCAGGAGGCTGTTGGTCGTGCAGCTGTACTTATGCTCGGTCAGTCGCTTCAGTTGACCGGGCGACAGCAACTTATCCTTGTAGAACTGCATGCTTGGCGTGCGCGCGCGCGCCTACCGGAGCTGGTGTCTCTCGACGGGACGAAAAAAAAGAGGGGGGGGGGGGGGAAAAACGAACACCTCCGCCTGCGGGGGCCCCGAATGTCTCTGCGAGGAAACGCACGCGGCACACTCACCGAACACCCACGGCGAAACGGCTAAACATAACAAGCGATCGTCGCGGCGTACACATACGACATCTCTGCGCGCTCCTATCAGCCGGAAGCTGTCGTGGTCACCGCCGCCTGGGTGAACCGGAACCACACCGAGCGCGCTACATCGCGGCGCAGAGGGCGTGCGCGTCGCGCGAACACGCGGCCGAAATTTGAGAACGCCAGGGGAAACGAAGGCGGGAGGGACTGAGAAGGATCGATTCACTCGCGATTATTATCGGCCATTGTTGCGTAAATTGCTCTGTGTTCATTTATGTAATTTATGCGAAACAGCTGTTTCTTGCTAGTGAGAAATCGTTTCGCAAGAATCACTCGTCGATGCGAGTAAAAACCTTGGTAAACCTAACGACGTATCAGTCTCTCGGATGTTATTTATTCGCCGTTAATGTAATGATACGTTTGTTGGGAAGTTTGTAAAAAAGAAGTCACATTTTATCTTAAACGTGTCTTAAATTTTCCAATCTTTTCATGACTGCTTGATATTTGACGAATTTTTCTTGACAACGCTCAGGGGTGCTCACAGACTTGCCGTTGAGCGAGAAAGAGAGAGGCTAATCTTTGAATTTTGAAGTAAAAAGCTGCCTAATGGAGGATTAACACTGCCTTCGATGTCCGACACACGAAGTCCGATGTCCAATAGGAGAATAGGTTTTCTGGAGAGAAACATGCGTCAGCTAGGAACTCTGAAAAATAAAATTTCCTATTGGGCATCGGGCTCGTCGTCCAACTCGCCGTTGATGCGTACTACTTGAAAGAAACCGAAGGTCCGTCTGACTCGCCGTTGAGTCGTACTACGACTACCTCGATTATTCGCAAGTAGACTCGGCAATGGTGTCCGGTCTGGCAAACTTTATTTTTAAGTAATACGCTCAACGGCGGTAAAGAAGGGCTCTTATCTTCAAAGAGTCAACGAAGAAACAGACGAGTTGTTTACTCTTTTGCCACACGACCGAGCAGCGATCTGACAAATTTTTAATTCAATTCGCCAACGATACGTCACTCATCTCCGGGGCCTGGTTTTACCTAACCTCTGCGTACGATGACGACTCTACTGGCTTCTTCGAAACTTTTTCACTATGCAGCGAGTAATTGCTTAAGGAGAGTAGGACCGATTGCGATTACCAAGCAACTATATCCCGGTATGTGGTGGTCATGTAATTAAAATTACATCCGACGCTATTCTGATAAGCAATGCGGCGAATCAAAGCAAACTGTAACCTCTTCTTGTACATCTCTATAGATTGCTTAATCCATATACTAAAAATTTAATCTGTTCTAGTTTTTCATAATAATTTGGAATTATTCATATTTGGTTGTTTATATAATTAACTTGGTCGTCGACATAATGTCTGATTTCTGTAGAGAAGAAAATAAGTAAACTTATCCAATGATATTTTGCACACTACAAGATAGTAGATAGTAGATAGATTTATAAACAGAATATTAATCAATTAATCGGTATAAAAGGGATATTTATTTATTTTAGCATTAAGATTATGGGAAACACCAGTAGCAGAATATCGCAAAATACCAATAAGGAAAAAATATCTTACTCTACCGCAAATAAAGCCATGGATGATGAATTCTGAGGAATGTGCAAGAGAAATACAGGAATGGAACGAGGAAAAGGAACAAATATGCACTGGTCGCTAAGATATCACATATAAATTTGTGTCAACAATATTCTGGATCCCGAATGATCTTCACTGTATGGTCACTGCTCTGATCTCTTATTTACAGATGTGACAAATGAGATCAACAACCAAATTGCGACGAACAGGACCGGCCGTTTGTTCGCGGTCATACAATTATTGGGGAAGCAATTCAAGGTGACTGAGAACGACATTATAATCCTCGAGGGATTCTGGCCGCCGAATATAGGCGAACACTTGAAGCTGGAGAAGGTGCTGCTCGTTGGAAGCACCGATTTCACTCTCGTGGGCAGACCGATCCTCAACAGAGAATTGGTCACGGTCAATGCATTAGTCATCGAGAAGACTCTGTCTCACACGAAGACTCGCTTTAGATTCCTGAAGAGGAAACGGTATCGCCGTATAAACTGTAAGACATTAAAAACTATAACATTCTCCTCCACTCTCTCATTCGCTGCATTCGTTCGTGTCGATACACTCGACGTTTCGTGTTTCAGTTTACAGAATGCAGCATACGATGCTGCGAATCAAGTCCATAAAGATCAACAGTAACATTGATGAGAAGAAAGAAGTGGAAGGATTAGATAGGGTGTATTAAAAGTGTACAAATACATATACCAATAAGAAGCAAATGCGGACGTGTGTCGTCTACTATGTCGAAGAGAAACGTGAAACTCGTTTAGTTGATATTAGATGACGATTTATATTCTTTATGTCTTCTCAGTGCCACCGTCTATAAGAATTCTCCGTTCCTGTGTCGACGAGCTATGAGACGCAATAGGTTAAACAAGACGTTCGCATCCCGTGACAGAAACACGTCTCACTCTTGAATCGCGAAGAAGTAAATTTCGAGAAACGAAAGTTTCCCCTCGCTAAGTGCGAAGACGAGCTTTCTGTTGCTACCGTTGCCAACGACTACAGTACCGGTCTAAATCTTGTGCATACGTTTCAATGTATATGTGAATTTCTTTAATTAGTGCAGTCAGTTCAGCTGAATAACAATATATTAGACCCTACGCACAATAGAACACATATATTAGGAACAAGAATAAATATGAAATATTAAGAATATGAGATGAACAGCTGTATGACACGATTTCTCTCATTATAATTCTTATTCTTTCATTATAATATCGGTAAACAGTGAAAGTTTCTGAAAAATTACTGAAATACATAGTAAATATTTCGAAATAAATCGCAATTTTCATTGTGAAATTCAACGTTGTACTGTGACACACAATGAAAATTCAAGTATATGATTCTGGAAAGTGATGAGAAAATTCTTGAAACATTAGTTGTCGCATGAAATTTGCCGAGAATTAAACTGAAAATTGCGTATATTAATGAAGTGGGGTCGATTGAGCGCGTATATTTCAGCAAAATACTTCCATCGGGGTAATATTTCACATTTATTCCCAATATATCTCCATTGTGCGCGCGGGGCCTTATACCAGCGGAATCTTGATTTTTTACGCGCGATTCGCCGGCGTGTTTGCGCGAAAAGTACACCTGCTGCTTCACCTGCTGATCAAGAACTCGCGCGTCGGCGCTCCAGTACGACATTTCACGTGGAAGGCTGCGTGCGCGACATCTAGCGTGCGACGGACACGGAACGCGAGCAGAACGGAGCGGCAGTGACGGTGGAAACGTCGCGCCGTGCGGTCGCGCTCGATCTTTTCGTTTTTCCCGATCGGCGACGCACGAATACAGCATCCGCGCACGACGACGCGACGCGTGACATTTTCGCGAGCCGCGCGGAACAGCTGTTTTCGGCGCGTGACAGGAAACCGACACGACTCGCGCACGACCCGAGCGTCGACGACGACGGGGAGCGGGAATTCGAGCAGTAAGTCAACGGCTGGAACATATTCTCTCTTTTTCTCTCGTCCGGAAAATCGCGGGAGCCGAGCGTGTCCTTCGCGATTCCGGATCGCGGATCCGGCAAACTGGTTCCGAGGACGCGCGCCCGTGATTTTTCCCGAACGAATTTAAAATCGCTCTGACGAGATTCGAGAAAGCGACCGGTCGCCGGAAGACGTCGGTCGATTTCTCGGTCTCGCTTTGCCGCTGTGAAACCGCACATCTCTCAAATATCACGCGAGATCATTTCAGATCATTCCCTTAATTCAATTCATCTTTATACATTCTTTGTCATTTACTTGATCTCCCTAGATTTTTCATCTTCATTTTAACTTACGATCAAGGCTTCGTAATCGAGGCTTTCTTGCGGTGTGAAAAAAAATATTGCTGTTACCGCGGTCCCATGATTTTTCCCCCTTCTCGAAAATCATGTCTTTTCTTTACACGCCACTTATATATAATCTATCTTCTTTTCTCAACAATTGCGGTCATAATGTCTATTCTTTATATATTTCTTATTGCACGTAACACATGATTTTATGTCTTTATCCCATTAGTCTTAGCGAAGTCGCGCGGGGGTTAGCGACTAAGACACCGCGCGCACGTGCGTACACACACGGATTACGTGCGCGCGTGCCGCCGAGACGCCGCGACTCGCGTACGAAGGCGGTTCGCACGAGCGGGGGTGGACTTTGCATGAAAGAAAAACGAAAAACGAAAAGCCGGCTTAGTGCCGGGTGTCCGAAAGCATGCAGTGCCTAGTCACGATAACAGCTCGCTACTGCCGAGCGCACAATTGTAAGGGAGCTAAGTACACACGATCGCCAAACAGTCAACATTCGGCGAGCTTTCTGTGTTGTTATTAATTATTACTGCTCTCGTGAAAAGTCTGGCTTTCACTATTTCGTCGATTTCGCTATCGAATGTCCGAATGCCGCGACTCCATTCGTTTCCCTCCACGATCTGCCGATCCCGATGTCTCTCGCTTCAGATAAGCCTTTCCTCGCGGCTCAACGCGAGCGAGGTCGGCCGTTTATCGGCTATGTGTTATCCGAAACTATCGAATGTGTGTCGCCATCCGCCCGTATCACTTCTTACGAGCGAATTCGACCGCCCGCGCTACACCGCGGATTAGTGCGCTCCGGATTAGTCGCGTACGTATGTCAAGTATCAAACCAGTCGCGAGAAAGTTGCAATGCCTTTTTCTTTTCTTCCGAAAAATTTCGCAACGCATCTCGCGTCAATAGGAAAATTAATCATAATTAATAAGAAAAAAAAACAAGCTTCTCTTGCCGGACACGGGAAAAATTCCGAAACTCGAAAAAGAAAGTGCGTATTGCAATCTTTCTCTGTGACTGACCACACGTGCAACATGAATACTTTGATGGTGAAATAATTGACGTAACGTTCCGCTAAATAACATGACGATATCATTATTAAGCATCTAATCGCTCAAGATGTTTATACACCGAGGAAAGAAAATAGTGGGGGAAACACTTAACCCCTCGTCCACAATCTTGCTTTAGGACGTGGGCGGTAAGCAAATTAACCAGCGATTGATTATTTTTTTAATAAATAACCGTGGCTGGTCAATTTGATTACCGCTTACGTCTGAAAGCAAGATTGCGGACAAAGGGGAAATTTTGCTTGAACGGAGAAAATGTTTTTCAAGTACAACGTTTAGGGGATATACAGGGTGTCGGATAATTTCCTCGGGATCCGTGGTGTGCAGGTAGAACGGGTGACGCTGAGTAGAAAAATCATGTGCCATTTCGCAAAATTCGCAATAGTTAACGGGGAATTAGTCGATTTATACGAGCCAATGAGCTCACGGGAAGCGGAAAGTCGGATACTAGAAAGCCAGTAAGAGAAAAATGACTTACTTCTCAAAAGATTTCCTAGCAACGATAGATATTAACTGATAGCGAAAGGTGCGTTTCTTTTCGACGCGCAGCCCTGAATCACTCGCTGCGTTACTCCGTCTCTAGAAATCGGTTGATACTCATCGTTGCCGGCGAGATCTTCAGAAGTAAGTCATTTTTCTCTACACACAGAGTCCGGTCTACCGCTACCCGCGTGCGCTCATTAAGCTCACACAGATTAATTAACTTCTCATTAATTATTGCGAATTTTCCAAAACGATACTCAACTTTTCCGTTCAGTTCCACATGTTCCACCTTCGAATAAGAATGACCGCCGATTTTATCCATCCCAAATTTTTCCTCAGTGTGTGTTTTTTTTAAATTTAAATAACTGCTTCGTGTACAGCAGCCTTCGACATACGCCGATCCGACGCGGATGATCGGACGTTCACGATGATTTGCGTGCGAAACTCTCGAATCTGTGATGCCAAGGGGTGAATCTTGTGCGTGTGTCGTTTTCCGTAATTTTGTGCGTTCACCGTCCCACATTATCCCACACACTGTCGCATCCTCCATCCAGGTCCCGTCGAAAAATCCCCGTGAAACGTCGGCAGCGTGTTACGCGAGTAATTGGCCGGCCGAGAATCTGACAAGGCGATTTTGCGAAAATGACAGGCAGGAAGAAGAAGGACAAGAAGAAAGGGAAGGTGAAGGAGGCCGAGAAGACGGTGGATGAGATTCAACTGCGCAGGGATTTGAGGAAGCAGATGAAGATGAGCGACGATTCCGCGAAACCGGCGCAGCAAGAAGTCGCGCCGGACCAGCCGAAATACTCCGAGGACATCAGGATCGGCGGTATAGAGGGGTGAGTCCTCCAATCTGGTTTGTATTGTCAACTTCAATCGCTTGAAACTACGAGACACTCTCAATACATTGGGTTGATGCAAAAGTTCGTCTGATTTGGTTTCTTTTTATCAAAATGCACATGTAATATTTATTTTTCTTTTAAAATACAATCGATCAGAACGACGTCAGAAACGAGAAGACATATGTCCAATTTCTTGCGGAATGTGTCGAAATAAAAGGATAAAATGGTACTTGCGATAGATCGAGTATATTTGTAAAATATTCCGGAAACTTTCCTCTTTTTTTAAAAATCAATAAACAGTCGTACAATTAACGTTAAATAATTGTAAAATTGACGAAATCATGATGAAAGACAGGCTAAAAAGGAAGGTTGTTGAGTTACGTTAATTTTACGGTTATTTATTGACTGTCGGAGCGAAAGAGGCACGTTTTCGGAATACTTTACAAATTTCTGTGCTTAATCGATCACAAGCGTCATCATTTCACGGACATATTTTTTATTCCGATGTATTTCGTAAAAATTTTCGGCACGCGCTTCTGACGTCATCAGACAGGACTGCTGCAACGAGAAAGCAAGAGGAGCCTTAAAATAGCTACAAGTAGAGCAGAAAATTACGATAACGTTCGAAATGCCATCAAAATGACGAGAAATGATCCAAAGGTGAGCGTTTGCCAGTCGTTTTCTCGTAATTTGAACGTTATCGTGATTTTCTGTTCCATCCCGGACGATCTTGCGCTCGTAGAAATTCTGGGATTTCTGAGCGAGGAATCGATGAAAAAACGGGGATGAACTTTTGCATCGACGGTTCGCCCGCACGACGAGTTGTAAGACAGAAAAAAAGGAAATACAAGAAACGCGCATTTCGCGAGTGAATTGGTTATCTCCTTAAAAATAGACGCGTTATCTAAGCGCATCCACGCAGCTATATACATTCATCGGAACAACAAGAATAAATATGTATCGAGTGAGGTTGTTCACATTAACATTCCAGCGGACGGAGATGGAACGACTTGGATAAATGGTTATCTCAAGTGCGAGATATTAGTTTTCCGCGAAATGTACACGTGTATCGTGACGAAATGCCTCGACAATGGAAAACGATCATTAAGATCTCCCTTTATCGCGTTTTATGAGCTCGGGATTCATTCGATTAAGATAGACGGTCCGAATTTTCCGAGGTGATATTAAGATAACTTACCTTTGTAAGTTTATTATTTACTGAAATGAAAACTTTCCTATAATTTTATTTAACTATCTAAGTAATAAATGTTAATTTTGAGTGAGCGCGGAAATTCAGGCAAATAAATGTATCTTGTCGAACTGGGCGCTTACGCAAATTTCAAACAACCCTGCCTTCGCCTTCGACGTAGAAAGAGAAAAAATAGAAAAAGGAGAAAACGCGCATCGCAAAAAGCTGTTATCATCGCGTCCGTATCGGCGCGCATCGGCGGAACGCGCGGACAAGCGTCGTTGTCGGGGAGGCCGCGACGAAATAATCCAGCGCGCACGCATTTTTGACTTTCTGAACGAAAAAAAAATTCAGAAATCGCTGATTACGAGGTTCGATATCTTTCCCTGTGTGTGTATGTGTGTGATAACACACATGCCGCGCTCGGAACGGAGCCGGAAATCAATTCTTCGAGCTTCATTGATTGCGAAAACGAGCGTGCGGCACCAATACTTTGAAAATTTCTTTCTATTTCAATTAATTATCTTTCAATTTTAATTAATTACCCGTGAAAATTTCCCTCTATTCGCGACAGTGATTTGTGGGCGCTTGTGATTTTGCATCACAAGCGTCGCGGAACGTCCAATAATTCTCGCGTGATCAACGAGAGAGAGAGAGAGAGAGAGAGAGAGAGAAACAGGATACATTATTTAGTCGTTGATAACTGCAATCAATATTCGTTAACCGAGGCGTTTAACTTCTATCTTGTGACCGGTCATTTGCGCGACCTCGCGCTCTTAGCACGACCGACTGGAATGCGAACTTAAATGCTAATCGATTAATTCCTCCACGAAACGTTAATCATTAATCTATCAATTCTATGTGTCTTTCTTCCTTTTTTCTTTTCCAGAGGCGGCACACACTCCACGCTCGTGATACTCGACGGGCAGGGCACGCGGCTGACAGAAGTCAAAGGGCCAAACACCAATCACTGGGTGAATCTCGTTGAACAAATGAAGTTACAACGCGAGCGTGTCGCGTTGCCTAGTTTACTCGAAAAGCGAGAATGCGAGAAATTTTGAAATCCGGTCTGCCGCTTCGGTAAAATCTGCTTAAGACCCGCGTGTACTCGCGCTCTCGAGATAAACCAGCTCGAATGATTGACGGAAATATATCGTTTTAAACCCGGTCGCGTGCTAGGAAGGGAAAATAAAGTACAAATCGGAGTATGATAATAAATGACGGTGATAATAATAATAAGCGATAAGAAATAGCGATAATAATAAAGGAACGTGTTTGCTTGCCCTGTGCGACGTCCCAGGCGCTCGGGATGGAGGAGGCGGCCGCCAGGCTCAGCGGGATGATCGAGAAGGGGAAGGAGCAGCTGGACATACCGAAGTCCGTCCCCTTGGACTGCGTGGTGAGCATCATCGATTAATTGTCAATTTTCTATACTACCAATAATCATACGCAGATCTTCTCTAACTGTGTGTAAAATCGTGTGGGGTAACTCCGGTAACATGCGACGCACCATCCTAGGGAAAACTCAAGCAATATCATTTATTATATTAAGTAAACTCTTGCGCGAAGAGGTTACTCGACGGAGGTACATGACAGGCTTTCGCCGACAGGGGCTCTGCTTAAGCGGCTGCGAGGAGGAAAGCACCAACCGTCAGCTCGTGCAGACTCTGCTGCAATCGTATCCGCACTCCGCCAGGGATTACGTGATCGGTTCGGATACCATCGGCAGCCTTAGGACCGGCTTGGAGTCCGGCGGGATCGTGCTGATCGCCGGTACCGGCAGCAATGCCCTGCTCATCAATCCCGACGGCAAGACTTACGGCTGCGGCGGATGGGGACACATGATGGGCGACGAGGGCGGAGGTGTGGCTTCTTTTTTTTTTCCAATGCGAGAGAACTTAAGTAAATGGAAAAGTTCCTTCTGATTTTTCCATTTGATTGATCCGATTTTTCAGTGAACTTAATTTTAGCTTCGAATAGAATATGAATCTACGGAATATGATTTTGTTATGATTTGACTTTGGATCATCCAAATTCACTTCAATCGTCCAAATCAGATTTTTCTGACTGCCCAGCGAAAAGTGAACGTAAAATCGAAACAATTGAAAGTATGTTTTGACGTCGATTCGATGAGTCATTCCTCGGTCATATAAGCTTATCTCTTATCGCAATTCGTATCTAAGCTGTGTATTCGATTTCTTTCGCTCTATAGTCGATGGCATAATGAGTTTCAATTGCGGGAATTGTTAGATATCCGACAACAATAGTGCGAAATTTTATCATTTGCCGGTTAGATATCTCGAGATCCTTCTATACACACACACACACATACACACACATATACACATATATCGTCAGCGTCAGAATTTGGTGAAATTTGAATTCACCCTTAGCATCGCAAATCAAACATATTTTCTAGAGAGGTAGAATCAGATTCATTTGAATCCACACACATTTGCACTGGAATTCTAGACAAATTTCGAACGGCTGTTTGTCCGCAGCCTTTTGGATCGCCCATCGCGCCTGCAAGTACGTCTTCGACGACATCGACGATTTCGTGGAGGCGCCGAAGCCGATAAGCTACGTCTGGCCGGCGATGCGAAGTTACTTCGACGTGACCGACAGGAACGGCATATTGTTGTACCTCTACTCGAAGTTCGACAAGAGCACCATCGCAGGTTTCGCCAAGGAAGTTGCGATCGGCTGTGAAAAGGACGACCCGCTGTGTCTGAAGATCTTCGAAGATGCCGGACACGTTTTGGCGAAGCACATCATAGCCGTCTCGAAGAAGGCGCACAACGTCAGTATCCTTATCTCGGTGGCGGTAAAGTGACTTGCTTGCGACGAAGTCGCCGACCTGCAAACAATCCCGAATCGAATTAGAAATCAGGTCATAATTGCGCTCGGTAATTTGTCCGTCTTCCACATGTGATATATTGCATGTGTGGTTTTGTTACGTTACATTTACCCGGCTAGTCAAATCCGTCGAGACACATGTACACTGCAAAAAGTGTCTGCCATAAATTTTATCAATAACTAATCAGCAGAAACGGGTTCTAACTACTCTGCTAACAGAACACGGCGGCAGATTGGCGGCCGAAACCAAGCAGGATTTGTATGAATGATAAATTACGTTTTGCTTGATAAATACTAAATTAATAAATAGCATCTTAATGCACTGAATATACAACATTTTTTTCTATCTGTGAAACTTCTAGCTTAACACAGATATAGTCAATACATTATATTTGTTGTCGACATTTTGCTTAAATCTGTTAATACACTTCTAACATTTCGCTCAGTGATTTGCATTTTAGTAAAAAAAATCTTCTAGAAAATAATAACCGGTCCTTACGTTATCCAGGACCTCAAATTGGCTCCGGGTGGCTTGAAGGTGATCTGCGTCGGGTCCGTGTGGAAGTCGTGGAAATTCATGGAGAAAGGTTTCGTGGACGAGATCCGCGACAGACGCGTCGTGGACGAGCTGAGCCTCCTTCGGTTGACGACGACGTCGGCGCTCGGGGCCTGCTACCTGGCTGCGGAGAAGATTAATTGTCCATTCGTGAAACCGTACGACGACAACGTCGAGATTTTCTTCCACTATAAACGCGAACACCGTCCGGACGAAGCGGAGACACCTGTCATCGCGGAATCAGGAAACGATGTCGTCGTTTGTGACAAAACGACCGCTGACGTTCGCGAAAACGGGCAAAACACATGATGAGCGCGCGAACAAATAATGTAAACTGTGTTGTAAACTATTGTTGCGAACACGAGGCACAGGAATAATATACTTAAACGTACTACAGATGACGTACTGTACGCAAATTCGCGAGATGTAACGATTAAAAGATACAACCGTTGTGGAAAAATTAAAAGTTCACCCAAACGTATCGATTTAATATGTACATAAATTTATACGAAACCAAGAGCAATATAATAAAATTTTGAATATATGCAAACGGAAATATGCGCAGTTGGCATGGTAAAAGTTGCAATATTTTTTTTCCGATGAGTCTCGCAACGCTTTCGGTATCCAATAGAATTCATTTGTTTTAGTGATTCTCAAGAAATACATTTTCCTATTAGATACGAAGTGCGTTGCAAAATCTCACTGAGAAAAAGAAATACAGTGGGAAGCCAAGACAGTTTGGACACAGGTAAGTGTAGAGCACAGCCGATGGTTCAATGAGAGAACGAATTAATCACAACCAAGTCCTCTCATTGGATCATCGGCTGCGCTCCGAACTTAACTGCGTCATGCAAAATCGTTTTGCATCTCACTATATGCGCGTGCTCTTGTTTATCAATTTTAAGTTATTATCGTATTATTCGGACGTTTGGATACATCAGTTTTGTACTTCACGTTGCTGGCGATCACGTCAGGATCGCGGAAACGATCAATCGAAATTCTCGCTTTTCTAGATCGCGCCGTCAATCATTCCCGACGATTCTATCTATAATTCTTACAATACGATGTATACGCCGATATGAACAACCTTCACACACACATGTGATATTTGTCATACACAAAGGAATGAAAAACGTGCGAACCTCTCTACATTATTGTCGGATCGATATGCGAAATTTGTTTCCTTCCCGCGACACGCGTCGAATTTCACAATGATGAGAGGATGGGAGGATTGAGGGCAATCTGGGACACAGCCTGGGCCTGGATTTCGTGGGCTCTGTTCTCCGTTCTCAAGACTTTCTTCTATTTATTCATATCCTTCCTCAATTTGATATTCTTCGTGGCCTCTACCACCGTCATAGTGCTCATCATTCTGTACATCCTCGGCCTCCTACCGACGAGAAGTAATGAACACAGATGATTGACAAACTCGAACAGGATGCACCGTCGCAGCCCGGTAAGTGAGACACGTCGCAGGTGAACACTTATCATTGTCATAAATTAAAATAAATATACATATACGGTAGTAGAAAGGCCTTGTACATATCTCTTTCTCCCTATGTCGCGAGGAACTCTTATCTGTGTAGAATTATGTGCAACACCCTTTTGAAAAATATATTTATGTCCGGGTATATCACAATTTATCGTGTACATATGCAACAACAACACGTACACACTCTCGTACCAAGTATATCCCCCTCTCGCTCTTATTTACATCATATATATACTCTGACTAAAGCTAGATTATCGTAATTTTCACGTCGTAAAATTTGCATTAAAATCCTTACCTCCTCCTCGGAGGCTCCTCTTTCGAAACGCGAGTTTTCAACAACATATATCATCATATGATCCATAATATAATAAGAGTGTAAGATATAGTACTATATTATGATATAATACTATATTATACGCTATACATCCGATTAGATAGTCGATAAATTCTTCGATTTTGAACGTGAACGCAGGCCTCGTTACACAGCTTGCTTAAGATGTAAAATTTGACGATTAAAAAAAATATATATGTATATATCTATCTATCTATCTCTCTGGGAGGAGAAAACATGATTGGAACAGCCATCTAGGAATCACTGCGCTGTCGTTGTACGCGTACTTTGGATGCACGCAATGAGAATGATATAGAGCTCAAAAGATACTCCATAAAATATGTAACGATATAACGCGTGTGTGTGTGTGTGTGTGCTTATTGCAAAGCTGGATATTGCTACTCTCCGTTAATAACTCCTGAATACGCGCGAATATCGGCGGGTATATATCGCTCGAGTCGCTTACACCGACGAGAAATATCGTGCCTGCGTAAATCCGTTTCGCTCGGAGTGAGAGAGAGAGAGAGAGAGGGAGGTATTAAAAACTGTAACAGACATCGCTTCCGCATGTGACTCGTGTGAGCGCCTCGTTCACATATCCGTGTGTGTGTATGTGTGTGGTATTGACCTGTTGCGTTTCACGCCAAATTAAAACGTGGTCTACAATGGACAGTAGGATTATCTTTATAAGAAGAATAAAAAATTAACCAATCATAGTCGATTATTCCCCTTACATTCGAATATGGAATATGGTAAATTTCTTATTCTCACTTACGAAATATACTCCTATTGTCTACCGTAAACTACGCTTAATTCTGCGTATCCTTCCTAACGTTTCGGAGGGATCGAAAATCGCGTGTCACACAACATTCGGACGAGCGAGGCGACGCGGAGAAACTTGCGATGCGATCGCGGATCGTGCGTTCGGAAAGCACGACGGTCGCACGGTTACCGTCGGATATAATTATCGCCTTTGACTTGAGGTGTTCTCTTTGATCCGTGGCGAGTTCAAAGGAATGACAGTTGGAGCGCTCACCCAACCGTTGTGTTTCTCGAGCGCAGCCGCGTTTCTCATGAATATCGGCGAAATCGGCGATATAGCTGACGATTTTTCCCCGATATCGCGTTTCTTCCCCAGGGTGTCCCCAAGAATACGTTACGACGGTAACTGGTCATCAACGGAGTCATCGAGTCATCGTACGCGCACAGAATCGAAACCGACACGACACTTTACCGGCTAATCAGTGCTTCAAGTCGAATATTTCTATGAGCAGCGGCTCCACGCTCGACGGATTGACGTTCAAGTAGACACCCACGACCTCGTCGTTCAGCTTGTGAAGCTCCGAAATCTTCTGTATCAGCTTGAGAAATGTGGACCGAGCCTCGCAACCGGGATAAACGCTCTCCAGGTACCGTCTCAGGAGATAATAGTACGAATTCTAGAAGAAAAATATGCAACATGAGAATGCAGTATCTTTCTCTCTCTCTTCTCTCTCTTCGTGAAGAAAAATATCCGAAAGTACCTTAAAATATAAAATAAAGCATTGATAACACAAACCAGTTATCAACTTTTACTTTGTTCGAATACTATCGAACAGATTTGCCGCAATATACACGTGATATCGCCACACAGTGGAGTGAAACGCTAAAATTTGTGTTCGAAACTCTATTCTGCCTAACTCAAGATAGGTTTATATAGTGAATTATTAAATTTTTAACACACCGGTTTTCACATCAAGAAGATAACTTTTCCGTTTTCGTACGTATCTACAAAATGACCGATCTAAGAAAAGTACCAAAAAACTTACTTCTAAAAATCTTTAAATAACCATCACAGATCTGAATTCAGTGTGTTCAGATCTTTTAAAACACTCATAGTAGTCATATTCGAGAATCGATCACGTTTAGGATTTTGACCGCAAATTTGGGCGTTTCGCTTCGCGAGAGGTTTCGCTTACTTGTTCCAGTTTAATAACATCGCCATGTATGACCCTCGGCCTGTCGGGCGTGAATAAGGCGATCGCGCTCAAAATTAGAATGATGTTCTCGTCCCTCCATCGCGGGTCGAACGTGCGTACGAATCTCGCATGTTCCGCGTACAAATTTCCCTTCGCTTCCTTCAGTACATCGACCTTGATGTTCGACATGCTTTCTTGGCTGTGCGGTATCTTCCACATGTCCTTGTCCGGATCGTAATTGATTGCCGATCTCAGGATCATCATCTCCGTGCAACCGCCTTTCAACAGAGCCAGCTGGTCTTCCTGACACATGTTCTTGAAAGCGTTTATCTTCTTCGACATCTTTATCAGCCGTCGAATCGCTATAGCCGTCAGGTTGATGACGTCCAACAGCATCGGGTCGGACTGGCCGAAATTATTCTGGAAACAGGCGTCGATCCTTGCCATTCACGTTACACGTTCCGTGTTACTTGTCGTTTGTTTGTGTGAAATATTTTCGTAAAATGTATTTGTATGTATATTCATTGTATCAGTCGACGTTACGTATGCCGTATCACTCTCTGGATACAAAATTAAACAATCTTTAGCCTTAACTATAAACACACATGTACAGAGTGTATCCAACATTATAATCAGAATCATGATAATCCTAACTAAAGTCACATATGCGATTTTCAACCTTACAGACATGTAAAGCTGAAAATCGTGTGATCTTCCGTCGAAGAAATGATACAGCATACATGACACGAGATGCATGCAAGACGCGTGATGTAAGATCTCAATAACATTACCTTGAATTTACACTCGTCGCCGACCAAATTCGTTATGTCGTCGTCTAACGGAGCTAACAACGCTTTATTGGCAACTATCAGCTCGTTTAATTTCGCCCTCTCGGCGTCATTTAACTCCCTACTGCTTTGATTCACGCCAAGACTAGAAAACGCTGAATATTCTAACTTGATAGCCTCGCACAGGATGGACTCGATGGAGTTGGCAGCGATCGGTATCCTGAAACGAATTCATCCCCGTTTCAACCAACCAGGCTCGAACCGCTACGGTGGGTGTAATGAACCTCTTCAGCCTTTCGCTCGGGGCGATAACGCGTAACGCAATTTCCAACAAAAATCGTAATAACGCTTAATAAAGGCCTCCGCACGTAACAATTTTTCAGTCGTAACCGTAAGAATTCCATATAAGAAAATTGACCAATCACAGTCAACTGTCCTTCGACAAATATACTTCTCGTGTCGCTAAAAGTCGCTCAGTAACGCTTAGAAATCCGAGGGACCGCGACGTCCGGTAGCGGTGGAAGCGTTTTCCTTTTAGAAACCACGTTGCAATTCAAGATGCTTGGAGCAAAAGGCTGAAGACTTCCACTACGCTTACCGTAGACCCAGCCTAATTGGACGAAGAAGCGCGAATAGACACAACGATCGGGGCGATCCCTCACCTCTGAACATCCTGAACTACGTCCCTGGTCACGTCGGCCGGATTCTTGCTCCAGTCCGCACTAATGGACGATTCCAGATTTTGATTCTTGCATTCCTCCGCGTTGCGATTCGTTATCAAGTCCGTCAGAATCGGATTCTCCACGTGGCTGCCTTTCGACTTCATCGTGTGCCTGATCGTGCCGCCGCTGCCCGAGACACCGTCGTTCTCCGGAACCTCCGCCGGCCGACCCGCCATCTCGTCGTCGAGGTGGCGCTCATCCGTAGATCCGTCGATCGCGCCGTTCTCCTTCAAGAACTGCGTTATATGCGGATCCGCCGCCAAGCATGTGGCCATGTCGGGGTCCGCCATGATCTTCATGATCACTCGCTCGTCTTGGAATATCTTGGCGACCAAGCTCGGGTTGCCGACGAACTTGGCGAGCAGGCCCGGGTCCTGCTTGAACTTGGCGATCAGACTGCTGCCGCTCGACGAACACGTTTCCTTGGACTTCTGACATATCGTCGCCTCCTCCTTGATGGACTGCGACGCCGGGCTCGACTCGGATTGGCTCGTGCTGCTGTAGGAGGTGCGGACGACGTACGACACGTTGGAGCTCTGCTCGCGACTCTGCTCGAACTTGAAGTAACTCGACATGTTCTCCTCCTCGAACTGGGAGTTGTACTTCGGCGACGAGCCGGTGTTGACGAATGCCGGGTTGAACCCCAGCTCCGGGTCCTGCTCGTACTTCGCCGAATTCGCGGGGGAATCCTTATTATCCTTCTCCGCGCTCTGCGGCACCGCGTTGAAGTCGGTGAGTCTCGAACGGCTGAAAACAGACATTCCCCCGCGTTTTAACGTCTGTGAAATAACTCTGGATAAATATATAAGACAAATATAATAAAAGATAGATATAATTGCGTATATAACATAAGAGAACGTTATATTAAATTTAGAAAAAAAAAAGAAAAACAAAGTGTTCGGATGGTGCATCAAGTCTCTTGGATGTTCGACAATTTCAGCACGGTCAACATATTGAGCGAGCACACTGAATACAACGATCAAGTCGCCAATAATCACGATGTTATATATACGGGGCCTGGTTCGGCCGTACCTGACGAAGTTGGACTTCGAGCCGTGGGCGGACTCCTTCAGCATGTCCAGCGTCTTCGTCTCGGCGATGTTCGTGCTCTCGGGTGGACTCGAGGGGCTCGGCACGCTGGCCGCCGTAACCGGGCTCATACTTTCCACGACGTTCGGCCGGTTGCCGTCGAGGTCCGCGTACTTGCGGTCGGACTCCCAGAAATACGTCTCCGAGATCGTGGAGGCGACCGAATTGACGGACATCGACGTGTCCTCGAAGGTGCAGCTGTCCACGCAGTCTTTCTTGATCTTCGACGCCTTGACATTGTCCGGCTGGGTCCGCTTCTTCGCGCGATTCTTCTCGATCTTCTTACGCTTCAGCACCTTGTCCTCCTCAGACATGATGTACTCCTTGCGCATGCCGATGCTGAAGCACTTGTCCAGCCGGCATTTCTGGCAGAAGCGTCTGGTCACGGGCGTGATGTTGCAGTTCTCCGTGAAGGGACACCGGAAGTCCTGCGAATGGGAACGTATCCTCCGGTGATCGCTCGGCTCTTCCGGCTCGTCGGAGAACGACATTCGGCGAAATTGCGCAATATTTAGTCCATAGTACGCGGGGAAAACGCAAGCGACATGCAAATCGACCAACCCACGGTCGACTGTTCGGTCCAGGAATAATCGACTGCTCGGTACGACAATAGAATTTACTTGCCTCACCCACGTGATTTCCCGAAGAGATTCCGAAAATTTCATACAAATATACACGTTTCTTCGTTCTATCTCGAGAATAAATTCAAGTGATCTCGGGTGGAGCCGCTATACGGATGGAAATAATTTGAGATGCAGAAACAGCGGTGTCTTTATCGGGCCCTCTGAACGGCCCGTTGAATTTTAATGTCGCGAATTCCATCTTTTGAACCTCGCCGCAACCTTCATGCGCTCCCCCGTTGACCTCCCGCGTGCAAAACAAAGTGTGTCTCATCTGGCTCATTATTTCGTCTTATCGTCTTATCGAAGAAGTTACGCGTGTAAAACATCCGTCGAAAGGCGTCTTCAACTTCGTGCTCTCGGCTTCACTGCCAAACAAGATGACCCACGGCTGATATCTCTCGAAATAAATGCACGAAATTACCAATCAGCCACGGATAATTGAAGATTATTGAACGCAACAGTAATGCAACAACACGCCCGTCGGGGAGAGGCAAGTCGGAGAATTAAATCGACACTTTGACCATTTTCTCAACACCGAATTGATTTTTTCAACTTTGCCAAACTAAGGAACGTGCAACTTAGTCGTCACCTGCAAACATCTCAAGAATTCCCTGCAATGACGACACAACTTGCTTCTCCAAGAATTCAATGAATCACTGTAATCACCGACCAACAGTAATAGCACAGCAATGCTGTAATTTCCCACTTAATAATGTAACTTGTACAGAGTGTATACTACATTATATTGTTGAGTGAGAAATTATAACATTGATGTGATGTTATTGTTTCAGCATTTACTGAGAGGTAAGTTCAGGACTTCTCACCCAGATCGCACCTCTCGAGTCCCTCGAGAAGCAAATCGACCAGCCAAAGCTTCAGGTTCTTCAGGACCTTAGTAGAACAGCTGACTTAACAGTTTCAGACAATTTCATGCCCTGAATCTTTGATCCATACTCTTTTATCGATAAAAGTGCCTGAAACGTGGCTTCTCGGCCAATCGGGTAATTCTTACACTCTCACTGACAAAAGAGATTTTAGAATACGGATTATACTTTATCTTGATCTTCAAGTAATGCACAATGACTGTCCCGAATCTTCAACTGAAGAATTCCGGCGGGAGGCCGCAGGATGAGCCTCGGCACTCACGCAGGATTTACCTTGTTCTTCAGCGCATTCCGCCGGAAGAAGGCCTTGCAGCTCTCGCATGAGACCGCGTTGAAGTTGTAGCCGAGCGCCCGGTCGCCGCAGACTCCGCAGATCTTGTTGGCCTCTCTCGCCGGCTGTTCATCGTCCATTGCTCCTGGGGCGGCGGTCTCGCGGGCAATTAACACGTCTTATCTAACGCAGGCGGCATCGTCGTC